CTAAATAATGGACAACTCTTATTAGACTATGTTTAAGTGCTGATATAAGAAAATACATTGTAGCTTAAACTCATTTGAAATAGCTGACTGCTAAAAGAAAATAATGCCTTAAAGTTGGAAATGCAAAACATATTAGAACATTTTATTTTATCAGAAGCTAATTTAGCTACTTAACTAGCCTGTTAGCTATAAATAATATAAACCATTGCTCGGTCGTCTGTCACAAAGTAACAAAACTAAAGGCCTATAAATGCCACAGACTAAATAATGTTTCAGTAACCACATTTAACATTTAAAATACCACTATTATCACCGTGTGTAATGAGGCTGTATGAATACTGTAGCCTACTTACCTGGAGGTGCAAGCCATAATCAGAGCTCCTGGTGTCCTCCACCTGTGCGCGGGACACTGTGATGTCAGCGAGTTTCCTGCTGCGCGAGCTGAATATGCACATTCTCTCCTGAGGGTCACTTGTGTATTTTTAGTGTTTATGATATAAAAACAGGTGAGAATTAAAGGGATGCCCAGGGTTACAGCGGCTCTACTGAATTTGCTTGTCCCCCTTTCTTATTTTTCATTTGCAACAAGGACATTCCTCAACCTGATTGTTATTTGTTTGTGTATCTGCATCATTGGCCATATCATTGAGTTGAATTAAAAGATAAAAATCCTCTTCTCACTCCCCGTTCGTACAGCTTATAAGAGCAATGAATAATTCAAACATATTATTGCAAAAAAAAAAAAAAAAAAAAAAGCACTTGCAAGCTTAATGTAGTTTATATTCCTCTCATCGTTGAACTTAGTTGATGATAAATAATTTACTGGACATTGGATTGTGTGGATATTTATCAATAAGAGGAAGAATAAAAAAAGCCATTCAGTTAATCAGTTTTTAGTTAAAGGAAAATATGTTTCATCAACTAGAGGGGTTTCTCTTTTTTGTTGTTCTTTTGTTAAGAGGTGTCCTTGAAGAATTTTTGTTTATTTTCATTAAAACACTTTGAAAGACTGAATTCAATCTCTGAGGATAACATTGGACTATATTACATAATCAGGTGCATCATATCTTTGTTCAATTAAGTTTGAGAAAAATTGCAAGTCAGGGGGCATTTTTTTTTTGCTACTATTCCTCAAATGTTGTCCTTTATACACAAAGAGATAGGTGTCTTTAAATACTTGCAGTTCTTTTAAATGATCTTTTGCAATCCAATTATTTTAGTTTTAATTGCTAATGTTGCAGTTTTGTGAGAGAGTGGTTCATCACATTGACATTATTGTAGGTGCACTGTTTAACACAAAAGCGGTATTTACAGCCAATAAGTGAAACGGACTCATACAGGTATTTCATTTAAATCTTGTTTTCAACTATGCTACTGTTAGGGAAAAATGTTTTCGTCCAAATTCAATGCCTACCAGGGCCAAAAAAGAACAGCCCCACACTCAAAACTGAGCAAAGGGGTGGACACAGCCAGACGATTTACCGTCTTCTGTACAACAAATAGACCATTACACGGCAGTCAAACTGCTTCTGGAAAGCATATGAGTCTCACGTTTTCCCCTCAAGCATCAACAATTCCATTACACATCTGTGTTTTCAGCTTCCACGTTAGGCAGCAGGTATGATAAACGGTACTCTACAAGAATATCAGCTCCCTGGATTCCCTGGGAATGGAAAAACATGTATTTATCGACTGGTTGCCTGTTGACTCTCTCAGAAAAGCAATGAGGAGCAGATACATTCTTGGCACGGGCTTCTTTTGCTGCTCAGGAGCCCTCTATTTCCTGATACACTTCTCACTCTGCAGAAATGCTGCCATTTTCCCATTTCAGTTCCCTGCACAATCATCAACATTTCTTTCTCCATGACATGAAAACAAACTAAGACTGAGTGCATGTGTGCTTGTGTGTGTGTGTGTGTGTGGTTTAAATCCCCCTGTCAGCAATCACTGGGTGGGAGACAGCCATAAACTGCACTTTAGAAGCCTATAATGGGTGACTGCAGCGCTGGCAAAACTTATATCATATCATGCCTCTTCCCCTTCAGACACAAATAGGATCATTATTTTTGATAACTATACAGCAAGCGCTAGAACATTTCATTGCACTACTTGCCACTGCCTAATGCTGTACTTCAGCTAGATCATCATAAATCTTGCCTTTTTTCCAGTTATTATTGTATTTAATTACAGCACAAAACAATCAATAAACACTGTCTTACAAATTACTGGAAGATTAAGGGTGATCTATGCTGACGACTCTCCATCATTCTGTCCTCCATTAACATAACTGTGCATAAGACACAGAGAAACAAAGCGCTTAGATAAGCACAGTGACTCGTGCTGAGTGGGTCTGTCTATTTCTCAGCAGAAACATCTTACATTATTTGTCAAACGGCACAAGTGGCAATTTACAGCAGAAGCAATAAAGTCCATCCCATCTGATGTGATGGGGGCAATGGCCTCACGTCATCCACCTTATAAAGTGATGGACGCTCAAGTGTGAAAGCTGAAGCATTTTATTATAAAGAAATAAGAAGACATTTCATGGGCCACCACTGCTGCTCCTCTAATAAATTGAGGTTGTAAATGCTGGTCTGTATTCAATTGAGCCTTTTTTTTCAAACCAATTGAAAGACCAATTTAAGGAACATTCTGCACTCTAGAGTGTTTCATTTGTGTATCAACCTTTAATTCAATATTTTTTCACTATATCAACAATGCTTTTCATTAGGTTTTTTTCTGCTCAAGTCAATTTAATTCTACACACACCTGGGACTTATCTATCAAACTATATACATTTAATGGTAATTAAAGCATATCCTTCAATTATCAAACTTCACTCAATCAACAGTTTATATTTTCTCAGCTATCTTTCATTCCGTGAGTACTGTGTTGTTCTTTCCTTGGTAGTTTTAAATTTGCCTTCATACAGTCTCCTCCACTATGAACTCAATGGCATGCTGAGGTGACTGGCTCGTCTCCACCATGGTGATTTCATTTCCATCCATGGTGATGGTGGGAACAGTTATTCCCTGAGCTCCCAGGACAGAGGAGGGCAGGAAGACTACCTGCGAGGCGCCCTCGATGCCACTGAGTTGATCGGAGGGGATCATGACCGTCTCAGTGCCTCCTTCGCCGCTCTGCAGTACATAGATGGTCTGCACTGTGCCAGGATCCATTTCTCCCGTGGTGGCCAGAGAAGACAGCACTTTGGCCCCCTCCAGCACCTTCTGGACCTGCGCAGCCTCAGCTGCTTGTGCCGCCTGTGCCGCCTCCTCGAGAGGCAGGTCTCCGTGTAGCCGGATGTGTTTGTCCAGGTTGGAACGAGAGCGGAAAGCAGCAGGGCAGTGGGAACAGGGGTAGGGTTTCTCTCCACTGTGGGTGCGGGCATGCTCGGTGAGCCGCGCAGCCACGCTGAAACTCTTGCCGCAAATCCAGCAGCAGAAAGGACGCAAGCCGCTGTGGATGCGCTCGTGGTCTTGCAGGTGAGGCAGCTGGCGAAAGCGCTTCCCACAGGTGGCACACTAGTGGTGGGATAGGAGAAAGGGGATAGGAAATAGTGGATGTGGAGAAAATATAGAAAAGGTAAGATGACACGACAACAGTAAAGCTTTGATGAATATAGTGCTAATGTACAAACTGGAAGCAGCTCATTTTCTCAGACATCTCTACAGATTTTAAGCAGATGGAGCACTTCTGGTTGGGACAGAGGAAGAAAAGAGAACAGTATAGGAAGGTCAGAAGTGAGAAAGACAGATACAAAACAATCAAAATAATAGAAATATCACAATGTGAATATAAATGATTCATTATTGATTAAATTGCTGATCAGATTTTCATAAGCCTTATCAATTTACTCAACAATTTCATATAGCTATCACAGAAACAGTTTTGCTCCAACATGAGGAGGAGGCTGTGCGTTTTAGTCAGTGAGCATGTGAGACCAATGGCTTTGCTCTTACTATCAGAGAGAAAGAAGCAGAAGACCACTGGGATTAACTCTGAGCCGTCTTCAGTCACAAATCAAGGCTTAGCAATCAGTGTTGCCTCATGTGTACGCTACAACAAAACATGTGTATGGTAATGAGATTCCCGCAAAAATCCATGTTGTGGAAGAAGGTAATGCCAGTGCTGGTATTGACACCCCGCCTCCTACCATCTTAGTGCAGACACTGAAGTCTACACGATACTTGATTAAACATGAAGCACTACAAAAGAATGGCTGTGTTGATTCCTACTGGGGACACTGAGACTGAAAGTATAATCCCTGCTGACAGTTCTGCTGTTTATGTTTCTCTATGAGACGTACTGTAATAAAATTACCTTTCCTGTTGAGTTTGCTCTTTATACACTCAGAGAAGTTTTCTTTCAGACATGCACAGAATGTCATTCTAATTTATGTTTGTCCCAATAACTGCCTGTGTGGATGAGGACCAATTCTCCTTGTACCTCTGCATGCCTGGTAGATATGACTCAAAGCAGAGCCACAAACATTAAATCAATTGTACAGTCAGACGTGCTGCGATGGGTCTATAGTTGATGTCCTGCCTCATCACCAGAGCAGCAAAGAAAGAGAGGGAGAGAGTCCCAGAATAGTAACAGGCACAGAGGGGAGCTGACAGGCCCTAACTCAGCCCTGCCATTAATCACAGGTACACGAGGAGGGAGGGAGGGAACACCCGTAGGACACACACTGCACAAATGGCCATGGTCCGGATCTGGTGACATGGCCGAATCTATGTACGAGTGTGACCATGAGGGGTGAGGCAGTACTGGATTTCAACATGAAATACAGGTTGAAAGCCTTGTATGAAAAGGACAAAATATGAGTCAGAAGGCTAAGAGAAATACCTTTTTTTGAAGCTAACACATAATACCACCAATATTTCTTACCTCAAAGGGTCTCTCATCAGTATGTGTCCTCATGTGAACACTGAAGGTGGAATTGTAGGCAAACTCCTTGTGGCAAATTTGACAGCGGAAGCGGGGTCGGTTTTTGGACTTGCCGAGTTTTCCATGGAAGTGGGCCAGCACATGCTCCTCCAGGGTACTGTTGGAGGTAAACCGACGGCGGCAAGGACTCACAGGACATTTGAGAGGGGTCTGACCTGTGTGGGATAAACGATGGAGGTCGAGGCCCTCCTGGGTCATGCAGCGGTGGCCACATAGGTCACACTCAATCTGAGGAAGAAATGGAGCGAGTGGAAAGGGAAAACACAGAGAACGGCGGATGAAAAACCAGAAAGTGAAGATAATGGAAGAGAGAGGGTAGCAATTAATAAAATGATTAAAGGTTGATGTGTTTGGGGTCTATTCGAGACATGATGTTACATGTCGATACTGACTGGAGACGTTTGTTGAAATTCCGCCTACATTAAACCAACCTCTCATGTCCTTTCTGTCTGGATAAAAACTATCCAAAAAAAGTCAGATAATAAAGTAATAAATCATTTCCCATATTGTCTAAGTAACATGGGGTTACACAGGTGCTGCAGCCAATCACAGAGCTCCACCTGTGGAGCAGCATCGAAGATCCTCACTCACATACAGAGGTCTCACTCTCACACACAAACACAGGCATACTCCACCCATAAAAAAAAAAACACCATACGGCCAGGGCTGTAACACTGCTGGATCATGATTCATATATCTATTGAGGTTTATCATTGCATTGACATTTTATTTAACTGTCAGTGCTCCCAACCTGTCCAGTACATCGTCCTCGTCCCTGACCCCGTCCACGACCAGTATTCTTGTCCTCCTCTGTGGTGGGGCAACGCTGCATGTGGATCTCCAGCACAGACTGGTTCACAAACTGGGATGAACAGTGAAGACACGTCGCTGGCTGCTTGTCTGCAATAGGACAGAGTCAAGAGTTTTAGTCCGATAAGCAACATTGTGTGTTCCCACTTAAAGCAGTGACTGCAATATTATCTGATGACAGATCTTAGCTTATTAACTGATATCTGTTTGCTTGTGACACAGTTCAACACTGATAACGTTTGCCACAATGTTTACGTTCTGATGATGATGACAAACAGTGATAGTTTATATCCTGTTTATATTGTTCTGTCTTTGATTTTTGTGCTTGTTTTTCTACAGTTTTTTTGAGTATCTGTTGTTGTATGTATTTTAAAGCCCATCTAGGGATAGCCAAAACACATTAGCTTAGGCTACAAATGTGGTAGTGTGTGGCAACAGTTAACGTGCTCCATACTTGTCCATATACAAATAAATATGAAATAAATAAATAAGGACTAAGCATGTGTTTTAATTAATGATTATACAGGACACATTTTCAATGGAAGACCTCTGACATGTCACAGTGGGAAGAACAGGTGTGGATAACGAAATTGATTATGGTTGAATTGCAGCTGCTTCAGCTTCAGGGTCAATATCCTACTGTCATGGATAACTGAAACACTTGAAAAGCACTGAGCCATTCTAAATGTTATTAGTAACACCCTGGCTCTTTCTTCCTGTGACAAGTGAAGATGTGTGCTATGAACAAAAGGCTTTTTTAAAATAGGTTGGGAGTGTTTGTCGGACTAAATAAGAATTCTTAAAACATCTCTCGATGTTCTTCATACTTTGTGAATGTATCAAATTATCAATAAAATCCATGTCACAATATTCAAACGTCAATTATGACCCATGTCACTTTTTTTGTGTTCATATGTTTTGCTGAATGTTTCATATCAACTAAAACTTAACATTAAAAAACACAACTTTCAAAAAATATATAATATATAACTAAAGTATGTTGATTGGATGAGTATCTATCAAGTCCCATGACATCATCAAACGCCATTGTGTTATAACTTGATTAAGTGTCCTCCAGCAGCACACATTAAACTGTGCGTTTACTAATAGATTGTGGGACACCATCAAAAATAATGAATCACATATCACAATTTCTCAGAGTTCAATGTAAAATCTGAAAAGTGTTTTGGCCAACCGAGAGTCCAAAACTTAAAAAGAAAAATAATTGAGCTAAATATGACATATTTTTATATAACACAGAAAAAACAGATTAACAAGCAAATATCTTAAAGTGTGTAATTGATCAATTGTTTGTAGAGTCCATTCACATGGCTGATCAATCTATCATCTAATCACTTCAGCTTTAATAAGATGGGGCCCTGATTGTATTTTGGCAAAGCAAACCCCACTCTCACTGGGTTGCTCTTGGAGACCTGGCAGAGAAATAGCTGACACTGATGGTTCATCAGAAAGTCTATTGGTCGTCACGCCAACATCTTGCAATCTGCTAACCATCTGCACTGTTTGTCCCAGTGGGGGCGATCCATGCTGCTCCCAGTTGAGACCCTCTAATTAAACCTTTAATAAAGGACAATCTCAGCCAATGGCCCTGGACTGATCAATGGATCAATTCCTCCAATCATATCTCTCAGAAGAGCCACATACCTCTGACCCCTGCTGCACGCTGACGCTTCAAGCTTAACTAACGAGGTTAACGTTCCAACGCCCCCAAATTAATTTACCTCCACCTTCCTCCTACGTTCCACAAGGGACGCAAATCAATAGAAAGTCATTGACCTAATGCATTGGAGGGACAATACACATATAACAGGGATGTATGTCTGTAAATAAACAAGATAGGCCACCCAGGCGAGCCGATGGGAACATGTGTTTGCATTAATCAATAGTAATTCGCTGCATGCTGTACTGATAAGGACATCATATATAATTGGTTTCCATTACAAGCAGACACAGGGGCTTGCATCTGATTCCCTGATATGTTAACCTCCTTTCATCTCATTGTTGATCTTCCTGGCTGTTATCAGATATTGACACATTGCTACTTGATAAGAGTGTGACATCAACAGCTATATATAGAAAATATGCTTAAGGATACAGCAGAACACTAAAGTCCATATTGCTTCTGTTTCTAAATGTTTTGCTTTAGGTTTCTCCTGTGATTCGTACAGATACAGGGCTGAACAAAAATGTCAGACTGAGCCTTGAACTCCCACCTTGATGAGTAAGTGAGTGCAGGTCCAGGTCTTTCCTGCGTTTAAAGGCCTCTCCACATTCAGGGCAAGGGAATGGATGGCTGGTGTGCAGGAGTCTGTTTAAAAACACAAAAACACACATTTTACACAAATGTTCTAAGTTTTCATACTATTGATGATAAGGTTTTTAATTCAACCTTCTTTTTCTTTTTGAAGTACTACTAGATAAACAAAGAGGGCTAATATGAGTCATGGGTATAGGCAACTCTATACAAACAATAAAATTAAATAATTATGTATAATTTCCAAGTAAATAGGGTTGTAAGGTATAGTCATGGTTTGGTTTGAATCTGCGACCCTATAGGTGACTCGTAGGAGGATTACCAGCAAGTATGTGCTTAGCTGTGCTTTAGGTTAAACAAGGGGTATTAGCTGAGTGTATAACCGCTGGAGATAAAAGCACAGCAGTGAACTAGGAGGAGTCAGAGTCAGGACATGAAAGACTATATTTATCCATTGCTTAACATTACTCTGGATATAGCCTTAGGGGAGGAGAGAAGTGTTAGGATGTTTCACCTAATGCTGCATCAGCCCAGCTTTCAATGTATAGAAAATGTACAGTACTTGCTCTTTTGGAAGCTACTCATAATCAGACAAAACACAGCGTATCACATGATGATTCACTAAATGTTGTATACAATGATAATATATATATATATATATATATATATATACACACACACATATACCTACAAGTACATGTATTATATTCCAGATATTATATCAAACCGCTACAGTCAAAGTTAGAAGAAAAATAACCTAACAACCCCAGTCACTGAAAGAAAAGCAGAGGGTTAGAGGTGATGTGCAAGGCCCTCTGAAGGCCTTCACAAGAGGCCGGGATGTTTCTCCTCCCTGTTAAATGGACAAGAGAAATCAATGATTTGTGGACAGCTGACCCTGAGGCAGTCACAGGGATTAAAACATCTGTCAGGGTCACCTCCACTCCCCAGCCAGATGTTCTTTAATATGCAGAGATGACACAGTATGCATATACACAGTATTCCTCAACAAAAAGAGGAAACCGACAATCTTTGTTGAGCTGAAAGTTCAGTCTTAATATACCCAAATAATCCTATCCCAAGTATGCTTCAGCAGAGATGTATGAGCAAACTCAATCGGCCAGTGAAGACTAAAACACATATTGAAAGCTCTGGAAAAAAAACTTGTTGGTGAATCTTGACTTAAAGTAAGGGTGGGAAATCCACCTGATAATTGTTTCTGTATAATTTTGTACCTCTTAAAATTCTCTTAACGTTCCTACAGCAATCATTCACCAATTTCTCTGACAAAAAAAAATATCAGAGGATGTGGCAAGTATGTAACAGCTCTTTTATTCGACCTTTCTATATTCTGCCCGTTCCCTTTTTGTCAGAGAGCGGAGTTTTCCACCATCCAAAGCAGCATTAGTTGTGCAAGAAAGGCATGGAACGCACTTGGTAGGGCTAACAACTACAGAGTTCACACAGCATTTCTCTCCCTAGCACCCTCTAGTGGACTCATCCTTCACCATAAGCAATGGCTGCCTTAAGTTTTTTTCCCCTAATATGCATATGTTAAGGTTTTAACCATTCTGAGGAAAAACAATCAATTTGAGGCTGTCAAATATTTTTTTCTTTTTTTTCTTTGGATAAAAGCTCAACTCTTAATAACTTCTTCAGTTTCAATAGGGTCCTCGCACCCCATCAGTTCATACTCAGGCCCAAACAAGTGTGACAGACTAGACAGTCGTCCACTGGTTTCCTGTAGAGATGCATTAATCAGACTTTACCTCTCTTGCATTTTCAGATCCTATTACCAGTGATGCATATTTAACAGTGAGCTGTTTATATTTCATGTTGACTCTGCACTTTATTTTAATGAAAGCAGCTAAGAGCCTCAGTTAATGATCTCAGTTGTTTCTCAAAGGCTGCTATATTCAGTGACTCTTGCATTTTTACCGTGTTGGCTTTTAGAATGTACTTTTGTCTTTTTACTGTCATGTTCTGCCTTGCCGCAAAACCAATCGCCCTTAAGGGACAAATAAAGTTGAAAATATACAGATAGTACTGCTATTACTGACTGATATACTATTGCTTTCAATATCAGCCCATACCAAGTACATGTGCTTATTAAATGTGACTTTTTACTTCAGTGTAGGGCCTCAAGATTTATTTGTGTTATATTTGCAGTGATACCACAGTCTTTCAAAACACTTGGTTCACAGAAACTGCAAGTAGCTGTAAAACATGTTAGCATAGCAAACATGATACAATACATCCAGAGAGTTCTAACTTAATCTCCTCCCTTCTTACTTAGAGCTAAGTAGCAGTTTAGTGAGCTGCTGACTGTTCATGCACGTAGGCATAAACATAGTACTAAAATTAATAGATTGGCCCCAAATTGTCCCAACTGTTATGGACAGCCGGTCCATTTATTAGATTGAGTATTGAACCAACGTCTGATCTTGGTATCAGATTAGGTCATCTCTAGTCTCAGGAACAGCTAGTTTTGTCAAGTCCTAAAGTATTTGAACAGTGTAACATTTTGGGGGTTCAAAGACTGTGTCTGACTTTTTCTGCTTTGAGGTCTGCTGAACATTGGATTTACAATACACTAACGGGCAAACGCCAGCTTAACGATTTAATTGTACAATGTGCACATTGATATGTGGATCAATATCCGGCTGGGATAAAAAAAGCAGACATTTAAACACAGAATAACCTAAAGTCAGTGCTTTAACCTTACGGAGGCGGTTTTATTTGACATCCAATGTGCTTAAGCCAAGGCCAATAAAATACAAATAAACACAGTACATCTGCTCCCCTTTGCTCAGCCAGGGAGGACAGGAACAGGCTCACTCCTGTTCAGGGTTATTGTTATCATCTTAATTTCCTTGCCCTATGTCTGTCAATCATAAGTGTCAGTGGCTCAATGGAACTCAGACATCTATGCCAGCACATTTTCTACACAGCTTAAAGGTCTTTCGCTGTAGTCGGACATAGTTCAGATACTGCATCTCCTTGAGGGGGAGACATCTAGCTGAATCATGTACCAGGCTCTGTTTGGAACCAAAATTCTGATATCTTTACTCAGTAAACAAGGTTGGAAATAATTCCTTGTTAGTAGTTGTTGTGCAGGATATTTGTTAGATGGGTTTTAGTCAACTCCACTTACACTTATGCAAGTAAGCAAAGCTACACAACTATCAAGCAAAGTGTTATTGTTGTGTCATTACTTGTGATGGGTCAGCTGATCCTCCGTGTTAAATCTTGATGGGCAGTGAGGACAAGCGAAGAGATGAGCAGCTCCCTCATTGTCCAAAGTACACACCTGCTTTGAGAGACACAACACTTATTGTCAATTAAAAGGAGTTCAAATCTTGCTATTAACCTCAAATATTATATTCTGCAGAAGTAATCTAAGGTTTAGGAGTCAAAATAGGATAGACTACATTAAAAAACTTGAAAATGACTAACAAAATAACGGGCTACATCTGAGATGTTAAGATGCATTTTTTTGTGGCCTTCAATTTGAGAATCATGAAAAAAAATTAAAAAAAATGTAATGGTCTGTACCGGTTTGCGTCCACGCTTGCGCCTGGGCTGTGTTGACGTGTGAATGCGTTGGTGTCTCTTCAAGGTGGCTGCCTGGGAGAAGTTTTTGCCACATACATCACAGCTGTAGGGCCTGTTTCCGGTGTGGCTCATGCTGTGGCGCAGCAGGCTCTGGGAGTTAGTGAAGGACTTTGTGCACACCTACATGACAACAATAATCAGGATATGTAACATGGTGTATAGCTTTATGCTCACAGTATTTCCATTTTGCATATACACTTAAAAATATGTCAAATATAATGAGGCTACAGGTTCAAATTGTGCCTGCCTCAAACCTAACCCACTTCAAAAGAATTACATCATCTCGTAAATGTCAGCAACATGACATAAATGACATTTACATCAAAGGAGATTATCCTTCAAACTCAAGAGAGGACACAAGTTGATTAAATTCTGACTGGCACCTTGCATGTAAAGAGTTTCTCTCCCGTGTGGCTGAAGACATGAGTGCGAAGGAAGACACGCCGGGTGAAGGTTTTGCCACAGTAGGGGCAAACGTGGGGTAGTGGTGTGCGAGCCCAGTCCTGCAGCAGTTTGGCAGGTGGAGGATGATTGGTGTTGTCTGAGTCTGCTGCAGTGTTGCCTTCTAATTCTTCTTTGGTCCCTGAACTTTTGTTTCCTTACAACAGAAAAAAAAAAACAGCTATCGTAATAAAAGACCAAAACACCGTGCCTTATTAATCCTATATGAGCTTCAAGACTCATATTTTAACTTACCTTTGACTGCAGTCACACCACTCAGGATCCTGAAAGTTGGCCTGCTTCTCTTCGGGAGGGGTGAACCTGATTCACTAGCAGAGGCAGAAGGGGAAAGCAGCCGCTTTTGGGTATCCTGGGAACTAGCAATGGCTGTGTCATCACCAATTTCAGCATCCCCCACCTCTGCCCCCGTTGTGAGGCCATGCAGCCGGCGATGGTACAGATAGTGGGTGGTGTTCATGAAGCTCTCTCCACACTGGAGACAAGTGTGTAGTGGCCCAGTCAGGTTGTGCTTCTGCTTCCGATGGGAGACCAGCCCTCCGTCATCGCTAAAGCTATCCCCACACTGGGTGCACATGAACAACTCAGGCTTTGGGAAACTGGAGGTGACAGTAACACTGCTGGGAGTGGCGTCCTGTTCCTGCTCATTGGTCCCATTGCTCTGGGGACAAACTTCCTCTGTTACCTCTTCAGGAACCGCTACCACCTTTTCCTCACCTTTCTGCCTGTGTTGCTTGCGGTGATAGAGAAAAAGGGTGGTGTTAAGGAAACTCTCTCCACACACAGAGCAGCGGTGCAGAGCTTCCTCAAAGCCGTGTTGGGTTTTACGGTGGGCCACTAGTTCAGACACCAGGCCAAAGCAGGAGCCACAGTCTACACACAGGAGCACAGGTTCAGGCTTTGGCTTTTTGTTTGCCCCCCTCCTCTTGGGAGACGACTCCTCTGGATTAGAGGTTGAAGCGGCCACCTCAGAAACAGGAGGATCAGAGCACTGATCTGAGTGAGCCGCAGTTTCTGGAACTTGCTGACACTCTTCCTCTTCAATTGCCGGATCCACTGGTTCTGGTTTAAGATCTGGACTTGTTTCACTCTGCAGGAGAGAAGAATCTTCTGGATTTAAAGTTGAATCTGTGCTCTGAGATGCAATAGGCTCTGGCTCAGGTTGTGAATCAGGTTTTGACTTCCCAGACTGCAGACACGTCTCTTCTTTACGGTGTTGCTGCCACAGGTCCAAGGACTTGAAGAGTTCATCACAGTCCCCACATTGATAGAGGATTCTGGGCTTGTCTGATGTCACTTTTGCACTATCTGCAGCCTGCTGGAGTACATTACTAACAGACTGCTCAGAGGACTGAGCTTCGTGGACTTGAATCTGTGGGACTGCAACTGTCCTTGATATATCTATCAACTGATGCTGCAAAGACAATAGAGAATATAAAAGAAGAAAAGAGTTAGTTTAATTCGTTCTGTTGACTATGATGAAAAAAATACTAATCTTAACACTAATCAAAGCCAAATAGAGTAGGTAGTTCATCCTGCAGTATTTTTAATTTGTTTTATTCCTTCTGGCAGATGAGGGATGAAAATTAAGTGTTGGAGTACTGAGGTCAATTAGAGCAGCATGCATTTAGAGCCAAACTACCTCTGAGAACTCCAGACAGACAAAGATAAGGCCTCAGTCTGGCTGATAACTATCAAAGGCCCACTAGGGTTGAGAGGGTCATTCTGTGGGGTTTTACCTTTGTTCCCTCAATCCAACTGGAAGATAAAAACAGGAGGTCGAGGTTAAAGATGTCTGAAACAGCCTCAATCATAGCAGTTCAGTCGGTCTCACTTACTCTAATGATCTTTGGGAGTTTGTTTAAGCTGTCAGTAATGGAGATTCTGAAGACAACCTCTCTGTCTCATTTCAAAAGCACTGTGATTACATTAACATGAATGTATGCTTAAAGACATTTTATGTTTAAGTTCTCTTTAAGCTGCTAGCAGAGTATAGTATGAAAGGGTTCAGAATAGAGGGACGTAAAAGTTTCATTGGTCACAAGACCAGTACGCACAATGGGCCTGATTTAGTAAAGGTTTGCATATGTAAGATCATGTATACATTTTGTATCAGCCTCAAATAAATGTGCAAGCTGATTTACTAACGCCGCACATTGAGGATTGCATCTGTCATATGTGCTAGACAACATGCTTTGTACATTTAGTACATTTGCTTTCGTGACTATGCGATATGGGGCATTTTTATTTTAGTGTGATACATACTGGAAGGATTCAGATGCTTTTTGTCGTTAGTTCTTTTTAATTCATCGTGTCTGTTTATAAAATAAGCAAGTTTGGACACCTAATACAAGAATATTTGCCAATTCCTAAGAAATCCTCCAAACCATGGGGCCCCAAACATTTCAGATGGACCCCATTTTGGCAGTTAAAAATATTTTCACCCCTCACCACACACATCAACATAAATTAGATTGACATACACAAAACACACTATATGTGTGTTTCGACCAAACTGTTCTGGGGACTTTCTGAAGAGGAACTATCCTCCAGAGAGTTCCCTGAGAACTGAACACCATGGGGACTTTCTTCTGTCTGCATTCACATCGCCATGGCACCTACCGTGGAGCTAAAAGGGTTCCTCTAAACAGGGTTCTAGGGACTAAAATAGTTCACAGTTCCTGTGGTGCGGAATCAATAAAAAAGGGGGAGGGTTCCACCAGTTCCTAGGCCCAACCTAGGGGTCCGGTGCCCCACTTTGGGAATCACTGACCCAACCCAAGTAGCAAGCTGAGTCATGAGACTCAATTAAATTGATAGACTTCAAGTCAACAAATAAGAATAAACAAACTGCTAGCTCAACAACCACTGACCCCACAGTTGAGATGATAAAACAATTATTCTACTATCAGATATTACTTTAAAACTAAGAAAATTCATTGAAGCTTTCAGACAACAGCCTTTGGGAATTTGAATACCAAATTACTCCACTATTTTTCGAGAGCTTCTATGTTATTATGTTGATGAGGCAGACAAGTCACACTAAGTTCACATTGGGAATGAGGAGAAGGGGAGCATACGTTTGTTAAAAGCAAGGTGCCCTACCAACAAAATCAGTGGAGAAGCTGAATAGGACTCATTAAGAGGAAAGTATTGTGAGGAAATTGCTGTAACAATCTACTTTCGAGTTTGATCCTCTCATTTGCAGACACAAGAGAACAGAAACAAGTTGCCCTTAAGCACTACCTGTTATCAAATTGTCCTTTCCTATTACTGTTCTCTACATTCCACCTGCACATCAGACAGAACTAGAAGAAAATGTTCAAGAGCTTTATGTAGACATAAACAGCCCGTGTTTTATTGCAAAGTCAAATCAAATATACTGAAGTTATGCTAATCTATCTAATGAAGCGAAAATGTTTGCAATGAACAGGCTTATGGCAAAGTGAAAGCCAGAAGGCCATAAGGTACCCAAGTTTTATAGTGTTTCTCCAGCTGTTTCATCTATAAGGAGGCCGATGAGCCATCCATCAAGAGAAAGTACGGCACTGACTGATGCATTTCTCATGCTCCTCTCCCCGCTGGCAACTCAGGATGCAATTTGTCTGTCATGAGTGTCACTGGGCTTTATGGACGTGTGTTGAAGACTGTAACGATGGAAGTCTGGGCACAAGCTCAGACAGCCGTGCCCTGCTGCTAAACGAGGGCCAAAGACTGCTTTTAACCCTGAGGGTCTCTGAAGCTGTCATGGGAGGGCTAAAAGAAAAACTCAGCTCAATATTTCAAAGTTAAACACAATAACTCAGCCTATTATACAACTTTCTAACTTTGTTATTCAAATTGTGTCTTCCTAGACCTCAAAATCAATAGTTCAGCTTATTGTTGAAATTCATCCCAAAAGAATAGATTTTCCTAACAGGACACATAATGCAAAAAAATACAGAAATCTTCAGACCTCTGAATTTCACAAGTATAGAAATCAATAGAAAAACAGCTGAATTTGCATACCAGAGAATACATTTAGTACACAGAGAGAAAAAGACTAAAAAGGGAAAGATTTTAAATATTTTTCTCGCTTCTCTTCTCTTCTCTTCTCTTGAACATAAATCCAGACACTTAAATGGCATGTTGCCTTATTTACTTCTTTCCAGCGATCCCTTCTCTTTAACTGCGCTTTAGAGAGAAATTGTAGAGAGATCAGATTGTTAAATGCTCCAGCTGTCTGATTGGTGAGTCACAGCTCTGTCCCTGCAAACGAGACAGTTGCAGCAGATAGCTACCTCAATTTGAAATGATGATTCCCGCCCTTTGCACAGCCCTAGTCACCTTCTTTCCTCTGGGTGGAGGCATTTAGTCCCAAGGTGCAGAACAAAGCCATATATTTGCACATGCACTTTTATTCATTCATTTATGGTCAAAACTGATTTTTACCCTGCCTGAAGAGATTATCTATTTTTGTTTTTAATTGAACATTATCAGTTGAGACTTCTCTCTTCCTCATGCCCTGATTGGTGGAGCTTGAGTACTTTTATAATTTTTTAAGTTCTTATCATGTTTTAGTCGTTTTAATAGTTCTCCTTTTCTCTAATGTGTTGCTTATTGTAACATCTGTTTTGTAATCGGTTTGTCAAAATGGATGTCGATCTTGCTGGCTGGAAACAAATCTACCTACAGGTACAAATAAAGTCACATGAACCTGTGTGCATAGAACATGAAGGTTTGTATTTATTTTACCCTTGCTGCTATTGCACTGCATCATATGCATCAACACATTCAGGACAGAGCTCTAATAACTCTGATATGCTTGATATATGCCAGATCAGAGCTTATGCAAATACAAAAACACACACTGTCTCATGTTCAGTCTCTGGCCCGGCATTATAAAAACTGACTTTAAAGTCCAACACTCCATAATGAAGCCACTTTAAGGTCGACCACATTTTCACTCATTACACCTATTTGCTCCACTAGTGACTCATTACTCTGATATTTAACCAAAGTGCTAATGTGTTATTTTGCCATTACGCTACACAGAACGCAGATCCAGGTAGTACCTGAAAAAAAATCCTTTGAATAATTGGTTGCCTTTCTGCACAGATATTGCCAATTTATGAGGAGGTCTGACAGATGTACGGATGCAATGAGTTAGTAACTGACATTTGTTAAAAGTACATTTACCAGTATCATGTGCACAAGTTGTTGTTAAAGCATGGATTACAGATCATGTCAAGTCTTCCATATCGTTTTCTTTCTGGGGGGGCGGGGGGCGGGAATAAAGGCTGATTTAGCACTATTACAACACATATTTGCTTATAATTGTTGTATTAATGTTTATACATCTCAACTGATAAGGTCTTTAATCTTTATTAGCCCGAGACAGTTGTCATAGCCAGTAGCAATATATTTACTTTGTTGTCTGCTCAAGTTTGTCTTTAATTTGTTAAATAAAGGTTAAAACAGAATAAGAGCCATGTCAATCAACAATGACAAAAAATAAGGACTTGTAAGTAAAAAATAAAAAAACCTGCTAGTTTTTAATGGGGGGACACCTAGCTAAAACTCAAACCTTCATGAAGGTTAGAGTGTTCTCGACACTGTGGTGTTGATCAACAGCATGGCCGTTTTGAAGGCTGCAGTTTGTGACGCTGTTATATTGTACTGCAGTATACTGACAGGTGTTACTATTATCTTGTCTAGCCCATTAAAACCAATGAGGGAAGGCTAGATAAAAATAGGACATCAGCTCACACCTAAATTAGGTCTGAATACACAGCAATGCCTTGAAGTGAGTCAATAAATCATAACAAACAACTCAATGTTAAGTGCTCTGATCAAGGTCACTATTACTATGATGAGTAGCTGTACACTGTCAATTTATGACTAAAGTTGCGCTTATAACTTCAAAGTCAATCTCGTGATATGATTCAGAGGCTCTCGTGGGATCATTCTGCTACATGGCCACATGGTCACAGTGTGAACATGGCCCAGCTTAACTTGAGATCCTGCACTCAAAACACCTGTGCACAAATTATGTTAAATTGGGTCTTGTTAACTAGTATTTACCTCAGTCTGTAGCACTGGAACGGTGATGGGGGTGGCTCCTGATGTGTCTGGCTGTTCATCCTCAGCAGTGCACGTCAACTGGTGCTCAAGTACCTCCTCCAGTGTGTTAAACTCCTGGTAGCAGGGGAAGCACATGTACACCGAAGAACTCTCCATGGCTGCCAGGGGATACGAAGTGAAAAACGTTTCATTAGAAATGCAGCAATGCAAAACTGATTTGGATAAAGGTGAAACAGTGCACAATCTCAGCATGCGTTGAATATGAAAGTTATATCACAACGTGAGCCTTTTGCAGATGCCTAACTAGCAGTGCATTACATTTGAGTTTAGATTGTGAACATTGCCCTCTCCTGATGAAAAGATGGGCCTGCATATATTATCAAGGCAACAGCTTGAACACAAGTGCCATGAGGCTAACTTTGGGGCTGCCAAGATGACTCACCATGCACTGAGTCTGTGCTAATTGTTATTTTGACCATGCGGAGTGCTGCTCAGGTGGAGACACTGCCAAGTCTCTCACATTCTCTTTCATTTTGTGCGCCAAGTCAACGGTTAGCTTCAACATCAATTAGAGTGCTTGAGCTGTACTGGACTCACTGCGAGGTCTGGCTCATGGTGCCTCTGAACGTTACTAAAAATTAAAAATACATTCCTTACAAATCACAGAATACCAAATCAACATTACAGTGCAGTACAACCCTATTCAGACTGCTGTTTCAAGGCGCCATATTTACGTCCCTGTAATGTTTCGCTTTCAATCTGAATGTCACAGAGGCATAATGGGGGGGGGGGCTACGTGATCCCCCTCTGTACCACCTTCGAAGGTTGTAACAGAGGCCTTTCAGAGGTGAGACAGTACCAGCAGAGCCAGAGAACCAGTGCTGTGTTTGTGCACGTCTGACTGTGTGTGTGTATGTGGGACTCCAGCTGTGCCATGCTTCTGCAATGCTGAAACACAAGATGAAATCACAGACTGGGACAAGAACATTACACCGTTGCGGTATCAACATGAATGTACAAGACGTATTGATGACTGAGCTTAGTTAGGCATTTTTCAAGAAACACATCAATACCTCATGAAGGCATCAATGTAAGACAACTCCTAATTAATTATAGTTCATTAATAAAAGAGAGGACAGAGCTACTTAAAGAAACTAATCTATAGCTTAGGTATTGTTGATGCAGCCCTTGAAAAGTTGCTATTCGTCTTTCGCTCACTGATTTCCAATTTCCCAAGTCTAACTGTGACCCTCAACCCCAGATAAAATTGTTTTCATTTAAGATGCAACTCTATCATGATTGGTCATATATGAGAAGTTGTTGTTTTTTAAAGGTATCTTCCTTGCCCTAACAAGTTATTTCAACAGCTAGGAGGAACTGTATATTGAAGCAGACGTTATTCAAACCTGAGTAAAAAAAGTACAATTTATTTACCAAGGGAAATTTCTATTTTCCACTCTGTTGTATGTGGAGTCATGCTACACACAAATTGCACCAATGGAGAGATGTCATGCAGGGGGGGGTCAGTGCTCTGTTCAAGGGCACCTCAGCAGTGCCCAGGAAGTGAACTGTCACCTCTCCAGCTACCAGACCAAGTTCCACTCTTAGTCCTCTGCCAGACTTGAATAGTCGACCCTCCGGCTGTATCGTAATCTGGTTATTTTTACTAGATTATCATACTATTGTTATCCTATAAACCATTGGTGTTAGTATTAACACCTTATACCTTTCTTAATCACATTTTCAATGAGTTTGGTTTCCTATTCTTTTGTCATAATTTCACTTAACAATTTCAGACACAATATGTTTTTTTACAGTATTGATACAATGCTTTCTTAGATGCTCTTATTTGCTGTGGATTATTAGATGTAGATTTTGTGAAGAAGTGATTTATGTGGAAAAAAAAAAACTAGTTACTTTAACCCTTCTAAAATACAGAATGTTTCCAAGTTCAGCAATGTGGCTTTTCAACATGTAATGGACAACAATGGAGTTATATGATCACTAGTAATAAGCTTTAGTAATCGTTTGCTACAAATGTAATATGCAAACTATTAGTGACCCACTCCCACTCCCCCTGTTGAGATGAATGTCTGGTTTGTATCCCTTTCAACAGCAGAAACTTATACTGACATGCTGCAAATGACAAATATCACGAGTTCTGTGCAACAGCTCAGTCTCAGTAACTTTAAAGGATCAGATGTGAGGTGGCCTACATCTGCCTTACCCGATCACTGCATGATGTTATTATTATTATTTATTTTTTTATAAATCTATATAACAATCCTCCCATTTTAATTAGACAAACACTTCAGTAAAATGAGTATCACACCATGCCTTTCATAGCAGTGGATAACCTTACACTAGCCTGTACTTTTTTTTTTTTTGGGTTAACAGTAGGGACAAAGTCATCTTAATGCGGACTCTAGATGACACAAGGACGATAAATACATCGCATAACTCGTGTTAGCCCCTTGGACTGTTCAACTTAGGGGTCTGACAAAAGCAGAACACACACAGCTAACACTAGCCGAAGCTAGCGGTTAGCAGTGAGCTAGGCAGCTGTATTATCTTTAACCAGTACTCTGTTGCTAACGTGCAACGATGGCCGTCTGTCTAGCAACGCGGCTAACGTTGCACCAGCGTGGTGTCAAGCGATTTATCCTGCTGAACGCTGAAAGCTAACGTAACAACCGCTGAATCATTCAAAAGATGACGGGCAACTTGCTAGCGACTAAACCTCCTTTTACCAGCTGGACCAGTGATCTACTTTTTAGTATTAAGGAGAAGAAGAAGAAACGACCGAAGAAGGAGGGCGGGATATGCTTCTTCGGTGGTATAATGGCGGCGACGGACTTAAAGTTAACATTAGCTGTCTCCCCCCGTTGAAATCCTCCGTACACACATATCAGCGTGCATTATGTCACCAAAAAAGTATCGTTCGTACAAAATCATTAAAATTAATTCAGTATAACTCACCGTCCTCAGACATTTCCCGTCGAGGAAATAGGACAACAACTTCAGTTTTTCTACATGTTAGAAGGCGCGATCTGATTGGCTGTTACGGTCACTCCATTCGCCAATAGGGTTCGATTTCACATAACAACAGGGAAGTTTGTAATCCAAGAGCGCGCGAGGGGCTGCAGCAGGTCAGTCAGAAATGATTATTATCTTTACTGCATGTAAGAGGGTAACACTGTCTTATTTTACTGTTGTACTCACACTTGACTGACATTTCAAGTTACTTGTTACTTGTAAATATGACACACTCATTATGTCACTTGATAGGATGCATTAGAGATTACAATAAATAAACTAGATTGAATTATTCAAATAAACTCAGCCCTCTGGCAGGTACAAAGTCAAAATGCATACTTTTAAAAACAGTCAAAAATGATATACTTATTAATAATCTGGAGCCCAGAGCAGCCGCACTTCCAAGAGCTTTCCCCTTCTCTGCTTAGGATTTGAATTTTTGAAACAAGTTACTTTGTATAAATTGAAGTGAAAGAAGATCTAACAGAGGCAATGAGCAATGAACAGCCTGCTTAGACAATAGGCAACCAAACAAATACAAATACAACTTTGAATACTGTACATTAAATGATTTGTCCTTGAAATCTTATCTCATGAGACGTTAAAACCAACCAGCTGTTTGTGTTATTAGCTACAACTAATTCTTATATACACAAAATTGGAGTCAAACAAGCTTGTCATGTTGCCTAGTTTACCAAAGCTTATCCAGTATTGAGCATTAATGTAACATAATGCAGAACTTACACCTTTGGTAATGATGGGAAAATAACAATCTGTATGTGGTCTTGATACTTTTGATTACCTGCAGCAGAATGAAATGTGAATGTGGTATGCATGACATAAGGCTTACTTACAAATTAATTACAAATTACAAATTTTGTATAAGCAAAATTAACCACGCTTTTCCTGATGAGACACATTGTTTACCGGGCAAATTGACCACAATCAGAGTTTTTTTGCAGCAGTCCTTAATTATGCGTTGTTTGTTTTTTTTGTTTTTTTAATACACTGACATCTATAACTGTCTCAAATGTCTTTGGGTGCCTCGAATATCCACAGGGGTTTACTAAATATACACTATATAGCTATACACTTATCAGATTGACACTCCACAGAGTGAGTGCAGGCAGGTGCATCAAGTGTTATTTACAGAGGTCAGGAAAAGTATAGACTAGCCCACTTCACATTTCCCAGAATTACAAAGTGCCCCTATGTGCCCCCCATTGGCTGATTGGGAAGATCAGCAGCTCCTCCAGACTGCTTAACCCCAACTCCAAATGGTATTAAAGGGCCAGCTGGGCATTGAGCCAGAGGGCCAGGGCCACTCCAGCTCCACAGAAGCCGTGCAGTCGACACATAGTGGAATAACATTATTCATCCTTGACATATCATATCACCATGTTGACGACTGCAGCCATGATTTTTATTGAAGGCGATGGTTCAGAGGCCGCAGGTCCCCGGAGAGGAGGGCTGTCTTGTCGGGTAGCGATCTCCCACAGAATGATTTTATTTTTTCTTGCATGCACCAATAATAAACCTTTAATAATAATAATAAAACATTAGTTTTTTGTAGCGCTTTTCTAAAAACTCAAAGACGCTTTGGCAAAAACATAAAACAAAGCAAAAAACGACGAGGACAGTACAGTGAAGAAGTAATGTAGGGGGGAGAGGGGGAGTTAGTGGTTTAAGAACATATAATGCAGAAAACAATGCTTGGTGTAATTTTGAAAGGTTTTACTATTACAAATTTTTAATACAGTTGGACATGGTTTTATTTAAAGATCATTTATAGATCTGTATCAGTTAGGAAAAGGGTAGCTGCATAAAAAATGTTACTTATGATTCATGTCGCAAAAAGGTATTGGACATGTGCCCTTAGCTTAGTACAATAGCACAGTACAGTGCATCCATTATTTCACTGCATTGACTTAATGAGGCAACTGTGCGAGATCCCTTGTTGATCCTTATTAAGCGGGCATGAAAATATTTTCCTTTGTGGATGAAGGGTGCTGGTGGTCCTTATAGTCATGGGGCTAAATGAGATCTGGTTTCAACGTGATGATCAGCTATCTTGATAGATTCATTAAATACACCACAAAAAAAAAGTATGAATAACTGCATGATCATTATCCATGAACCCTCCATCTAACTGTGGAGGTCCACAGTTTCCTCAGTCAAGGTCAAAAACATTTGCAATAGCATGGTTCCCATGACAACTGTTCTGATTTCGTCATGCTCCAACTAGTCTTTTCTGGAGTCCACTGATCCTCCCGACTTCACTGCAGAGCAAAACTCCAGCTTCTCTTCATGGATCCATCCATGAAAAAGGTTTCATTCAAAGCCAAAGTCAACTCTATGACTGACGCTTGATTAGTTAGTGTTTTCCGTAAATTCAAAATTCAACACTAAAGATCATTCAATGTGTTCTGCTTTGTATTCAGTGCATTTAGCTTCTTAAAAGCATTTCTAGGAGAAAGATATGTAAATGTATGGTTGAAAAGATGCCTAGAAACAATGTAAGCAGGGGCGTAACCAGGAGTTCAGGGGGCCCCCGACACCACAGCCTAAACCAACCCTACACATTTCTAAAAACACACCATTATGACCCAGCTGTGTAATACCCTGAACAGTGGCTATCACCAAGATAGAAAGAGGAGTATTTTCTCTGAAACATTAAGTCAGATTTTATTTTCTCTGTGGGGATAAGTTCTGTTAATGAACGGAATGTGGAATGAACGGTAATAGGCGAATGTCCCTGATAAGAAGTGTTATTAGGAACATCTTTTATGGTCTGAATGTTGTCAAATTCATGAAAGATTAATTCTACTGATATTAATAATTTATTAGAAATATAAGTTAATCAGGTTTAGCCACTCTTGTCTTGCCTTTAAATGTGGAATAATTCCCCTCAGTTCATACTTTGATTAACTTCTTTTTAACACTGAAAATCATAGTGGATCATCTCGCCTGACATTGAAAACATTGTGTTTTTAAGTATCACCACTCAAAGTATTAAATCAGGAAACCTTCCATTGTTTTTTAGGTGACTTTAGCTTCTCAGATTATTTCATTCAATTCAGTAAATGTGCAATGACAAAAAAGTCAAATGCTGCAGATTAAATAAGAATACATTTATTTTTTGCATTGTTTTTAACCTTTGTTTCCCGCTTCACAATGGATAATCTCCCTGTTATTGAAGAAACCAAATTAATTGAGTGAAGCGTAAGAGGAAATGTTTTTTGCTTTTTCCGGCCTTGTAGTTAGAATTTGTTGATATAGGAGATTGTCTTCGTACGAGGCCTCCTAAACAATAAGAAGGAACCTCAAGGCTCCGTATTGCACCAGTTAAATTGTGTTCATTGGTGCATTTTTACAATGCAAATGATCATTGAAATAACCTCGAACCTGCAGCTCTAAGGCAGTTATCTGCATTCCTGGGTTGGTAATCTGAAGAGACTTTAAGGTGCATTGGTGAAGTGTACTTCAAATAACTTGTCATCTTCTTTGTTTACAGAGAAAACAATCAAAATAATCAATAAACATGCAGTTTCAACGTCATTGTGACTTTCTTCCCCCCTGTGATTATGTAAACACGACTAATTTAAGTATAATTAAGACATGAATGTGAGACAGGCACAGTTTCATCACTTTATTAATGAGTTTAATTATTTATACCAACAAACAAAAACTGACTCTCTCCCTCCATCCCTCTCTCTTTATCATCTCCTTTATCCAACCGTTCTGTTCCCCAACAATGACATGTAACCCTCAGACAAGGGCGATGGAAGAGCAGGGTCACATCAAATGAAGAAAAAAAAAAAAAAGTGTGACAGATCGGAAGATGGAAAAACCAAAAACATTAAAATAGCACATATAGTCAGCTCTTCATTGAGGAGAGTCAGGAGAGTTATGTCCACGTTCTGCCAGCGCGCACACACACACACAGACACACATACATTCCCTGCAGCTGTGCTCGAGAAACTCCCCAAGGATCTGTGAAGCAAACATGCTCTCCTAACAAGTGGGACCCGTTACACTCATACTACACATGGTGAGAGGAAACAGAAGACGGTCGGACACAGGAGATGATACATGACAATGGACAGATTCATTATTTCCCCTTTCCTCCACACACACACACACACACACACACACTCAAACAAACACACAGGGTGATCCGTGCTCCCTCCCAACACCACGACCCCATAGATCCAGACGCTTGTAACATTCCCTTCACATTGAAGTTAAATGGAAACCTGGATTTCCACCTGTTGGCTAGCATGTGCATCCCCACACATACACAGCCAATGATTGGAAAACACACACCAACATCTGGATTTGAGTACAGTATCTTGGATGTGAAATTGTTTTGCATGTGACATTGCTGGACTAAAACTCTGAATTAAAAAACAAACATAAAACATCCCACAATTTTGCCACCCTAGTGGAAAAGAAACAATCCCCCCGCCCCTCCCAAAAAAAACAATACAATAAATAAAAGTTATGACAACATTGATGGGAGAAAAGGGAACACAGTGAAGAGAGAAATGGAGGGAGAGACAATAAAAATGAAACATTTTGTTCTGTTTTTCCCCTCCTGAACTGGGGACTGAAATGAAATGAAATTGTATTTACAGACTGCGACTGAGGATAAACAGTCCGGCAGCTGCTGCGCCGGTCTACTAGAGAAAAAAAAAATGACGAGAACAACAATATAATAACAATAATAACAAAAATAATAAAATAAAAGGTACTTGATATTTACAGTTTAGCAGTGAAAAAAGGAGGAGGAAAAGAGGGAAGCAGAAGGCGTGAGGAGAAAAAGGGAATATGGGAGGGGGGGGGCTCCATAAACTGTCAGGTAAGCATAATTTCTGGTCAGATTATTACTGAGATTAGCTGAAATCTTATAGTGTGGTCAACTAGGGCTGAACATGCACATTTGTGTGGTGGACGAAAAGAAAACAAGTCCGTGCTGGCAAAGGACTGTCAGGCCATTCAAGATCAGTTTCTACCATCTCCACAGGACAAGAAGAGAACATGATATGAACATCACAGGCAGTCTGTCTGGGAGGGGGCAAAGACTTCTCAACAAATCGTCTTTACAAACGAAAAAAAATTACTTTAGAGTCCTCCTCTCCTCAAACAATGATGTGAACACTAGCTGAAATGACAATGACGAGCCAGGTGAGCAGTCAAAGCGTCCTGATGTCATACTTCAACATAATCAATCTGATATGAGAGTAAACGACATAAAGTGACATAATTAATGACAGGACTTCTTAGGGTTCAGTGCTAGGTAATGTGTTTTGAAGCACCGGAGCCCTTCACCAATGGCTCCCTCTGTGTAAAGTTATGTTAACAGCTGGAAAGACAGGCCCCTTGCTTCCCCTCTATTCCCTTTGAAGATGTGCAATATGTCTTTAGAATTAAAATGAAACACTTGGTTTCCAGCTTAATAAAAGAAAACATGAGCTTATACTGAAGGAACTGAAGACTGTGTATAAAGTTCCTCTCAGTTACATAAAAAGGCATTTTGAGGAGGTAAAAATCAAAAAAGAAACTGCAGAGACGGCCGGCGGTGCCCCCCTTTAGTAATAAAATCTAAAACCACCTCTCATCTAAAATGACACAAACAAAATCAGCCAATATTTCCTGTCATGTGTCAAATAGAGATTTAAAACAAGTCTTCAAATTTGTAAACCATTAAGCAGAGTGGGCTGACAATTCTAGAGTAGAGTTCAGGGTAGGAAGTGACGGCAAAGTCACTTGTCTACACAGTGTGTCGTACGATCAAACAAAGTACAGTACAAGTGTGCCATTTGTGACCCTACTAAAGGATGATTGTCAATAATAATGAGGCCTTATACTTTAGGACCCCACTTGAACCCATACAAGTATATATCTTATACTGGGCCAGTCAGGACCCTATTTAATGGCACCACAGCCACACATAAAATTAGCTAAAACAAATAAAAGGAACATAAAAGGGATAAAAGTCACTTTAGATTAGAATACAGAAAGTCCACAAAACATGTAGCACCCCTCGTCCTCATATCCCAACTCATCCAACACTTAATTTCTTTACTCCTACAGGCCAGACCCGTACCACCATTGGACTTAGAACTGCAGCTAATATTATGTCCAAGTGTGGCTTCTTCAATGTCCTTCCAAACAACCCCAAACCACTCAGAAGGTAGCAGCCACAGAAATCACTTTTCTATCAGAAATAGTTAAAATTCAGGGGGAAAAGCAATGCCGAGTGTCTATGTGGTACAGCCATTTCTTCTCTATCTTAAGGGGGGGGGTTGGAGCCCAGGAGGAAGGTTGAAAAGGGAGAAGAGCAGAGGAGAGAAAAGGAAAATGAGGAAGACAAAAAGAAAGGATGACAGAGGGATGGATGCTCAGGTGCTGTTGTTGATGGATCCGGGTGCTGAGCTGGGCTGGGCGGAACTGTCTGACACACTGCCCTCTGCAGGGGGAGAGAGGGAACACAATTGTTACCAGAGGGAAATCACTGTTCTGATAAATATTAATAATATTTCACCCTATATAAAGTCATTATAATTCGCCATGTGTGTAAAGCAAAGGCTACTGTTAGGGTTAAACTGTGTTTTGATTGGGTTACACAAGCCCCAAAGGCACTCTGTATGCAAAAGATACATCTTAACCCACACTCCTTTTTGTCCACTGTGTCATAGCACGCTTGACTTGAAGTGTTACTTTTCATTATTTTGTGAATTCACAAGCACTCCAAGTAAATAAGCCCAATAAATATATGTATGAATAAAAGTCCGCTTCAAAACAGCCTGACAATGAAAAAGACAGCAGCAACCCTTTTTTTATGTTTTCATACATACCATGTGAGGCAGGCGATGTCTGTGCACGAGCGTGAGGAGGAATGAGTGTAGAGTTCAACTGGGGCTGGATAGACAGCTCTGAGGCAGAAAATGACCAACAATCAGTACATACGGGTCATCAAATTTTCAATATAAAGACAAAAACGAATGACTGGGAGGTTAGACTGACCGACGGGACTAAAGTTGAACAAAAGCGGCAGCTCTCGTCCGCTGGGCAGGCGGGTGTTGGGCTGACGCAGCTCATCAAAGAAGGCGTGCGCACATGCCTCCAGGGGAGACAGCCTGGTCACTGGCGTGTATTCCAGCAGCCGAGAGCAGAGAGCAATGGCCTCTGGTGGGGTGCGAGGCTTAAACACCTGACGAAGGACAGGGACATTCACATTTAGAGTTCTGAATCAAATGACTCTAGAGATGAGTCGAGTTCATGAAAATCCAAAGCTTGCTTTGAGACATCTACATTATTATTATTAATGCTATGATGACAGCAAGGAAAGAGATAATGATTCAAGCTGATTGAACGGTTTCTGACTTCCTGAATATACATCTCTTAACCAGCTCATAATGGACGGATCAATGCAAAAAAATGTACTGGAGCTACTTTAACTTAGTCTATTTAGTTTGTCTGGAAAATACATCATATTAATGATCCTAGGAAGTGATAAAAATAATTATCTCTTCATATCTCTGAATGTTCTCTATATAAGCTATACCCACTCTATACAGCAGTGTAGTGATCGACAGATCTATTGATAGATAAAGAGTGCTTTAATAATCCCTGAAGAGGAAATTGAATGGCAATAGAAGCTTATGACATTCCACATTACAATGAAAGAACAACAGGACACAAATACTAAACTTTAAAATGAAAGAAACAAGAGCAGCAAGGTGCAGAGAGAGTCTCGATGTGAATCATTCACAGGAGATGATATTTACATGTTCAGTAACATGTAGAGTCAATCATCATTAGTAGTAATCATCTATAATCATACATACATGTAAAGTATAATTAGGATCAAATAAGATCACTGTCTGCGTTGTCACTGTGCTGACATTGCTTTCTATGTATTTTTCCTTTGTAAATGTTTTTTCCTGTTTGACTGTCACTGGCTTGTCATGCTATCTCACCAATAAAAATTAAAAAGCTGTTTCAGGGATAATAAGAACTCTAAAACCTCACATTTATGTGTTAATACCATCATTCAATGATCCTATTACTATTCTCCAGTAGTGGTCACATACCTTTGTCCAAGGGTGTGCTTTGATCTGTGGGAATTTGAACTCTGTGTAGTTTGGGTTCATCTCCCTGATCTGCTCCCTTGTTGGTGTGCCCAGGACCTGACAAACAAATGTGAAAACAATATTCATTCATATTCATCACAAGAATTGGTATGTTCTGCATGCCTTAACAGAAAACATTTTGTTTTCTTAAATGCAGCTTGTTTTGTCCTCTGGGTTAGCCTTAATGCAAAAATATCTGCACTTTGATTAATGTAATATGTTAATCTAAGTACAGATATGTTATGGGGGGATAGAAAGAAACATACTTTTCTCTTTTATCTGTGATAAAGTGACTGTAGTTGGAATTCTAAACTTTCCACCATGTCTCTTTCATCTATAGACTTGTCATCAATTGGCTCTGGGCCACACTCCTTCAGTACCTTGATGATCTCTACTAGCTGGTCCACACCGCTGTCCCCAGGGAAGATTGGCTGGCCCAGCAGCAGCTCAGCCAGCACGCAGCCGGCTGACCAGATGTCGATGTTGGAGGTGTAGTCGGTGGCACCAAAGATGAGCTCGGGGGCACGATAGTACCGTGAGCAGATATAGGACACATTCGGCTCTCCTCGAACTAGCTGCTTTGCACTGGAAGATGAAGAAAGCAGTATGAAACAGATAGTTCAGGGGGAAAGTGTCCATCGATATGACACCTTAATATCTCGCTGAGACAGAGAAATTAGTATTCATATGTTGGATCAACACAGTAAAGTCAAGACTCCAATCGAATGAACAGCCAAATAAAAAAGGCACGCTGAGACAAAGACTCCTAGAGGCAGAGTGTGGTACTGACCTGCCAAAGTCACAGAGTTTGAGTATCGCTGTCTCAGGGTCCACCAGGAGGTTCTGAGGCTTAATGTCTCTGTGACACACGCCCTGGGAATGGATATAAGCCAGACTGCGGAACAGCTGGTACATGTACACCTGAGGGGGGGGCAGAGAGCATAATGCACAAAAGGTTTTAACAACGTAGAGAGATCATTCATAGCAGGAAGACAAGCCAAAGATCACTTTAGTTCAACAAGTTCACTGTTGTCTTCTATTTTTCCTGTCCTCATGCTCAGTCAGGTGAATCATGACCCCCGGGTTGTTTCCTGACTCCAATGTTCAATTGGGGATTTTCAAAATAAGACTTGTGAACACAACATAGAATGCAATATAACACATGCAAGGAGAATAGAAAACGACCAAGGAACACATACTTTTATTCTCAGTAGTATTCAACAATCATTTCTAATGAAGTTATTCAGTTGGTGCTATCTGGACTCAGATGATCAGCTAGAAAAAGATGGATGGCTTAACAAAGTCAAAATAATCAATTTTTCAAAGTTAATTTCAGTTTCTCCAAAAGTGACACTTTCTTATTATAAGATGATGGATCTCTAGCTACTGTTGCTAGGGGCTCTAGTGAGAGTGTGTGCTACAGGGTGCTAAATAATACAGAACACTAAAGGTTTAGAAAGCATACTGAGTGAATTGTTCACTGTGGCTACTATCCCACATTTATTGTTCATAGATACTGTATATCACATCTTCAATTAACTTGCATTAAGATACTAAACATTATCTAAAAAAATATTGATGAAGAAAATCTTAAAGTGAAAAGGGATATAAATGTTTTTTTATTTACTCATGCATGAAATCATGTAACATGAAACCTGATTTAAATGCTATTTGGACAGGAAGTGTAAAATGAAAGGCAGTTGTTTCCAACCAGGTAGTTTAGACCAGTCATAAGATACATTTAAAGTGGTGATGTAATACATCATATAGGGAAGAGGAAAAATATAATTCTGTTATTCATACTATCCAGGTTTTATTTCTTAATTTTAGAGGAATGGACTTGGTAAATGGTAAATGGACTTGAGCCAAATAAATATATCGCTTTTCTAGTCTTCCGACTACTCAAAGCGCTTTTTACACCACATTGTAAGGAAACCATCATTGTTTTGTTTGACTAGTTATTTTGTAGACATGCATCGACTGCAATGTGAGGGACACTGAGCCGAAAAGGTCGGGAATTGGTCATGTCCTAGTTGTGCAGACAACAACTGTGATTGTTTTTTTCTTTTTCTTCCTGTGTGTGAACCATTACTCTGAATTTGTGATGGACACGGTGCATGCTCGTATGTAGCTAGCTGCTACAGACCGTCATCTTCATCATGATGCCCAAAGTTGGATGATGATTATTAGACTCAATATTTAAAGGACAGTTTTATGTGCAGACTTTCTGAGTGCAGAAAGTAACTTTTGCTCACTGACTTCAAACTAGGATTTTTGTTGTGTAATTACAGACAAATGCATTAGTGTACAAGTGAAAATGCTTTTAAAAATGGCAGGACACTTCATTAGGATAGAGAGGTACTTTCTAACAAGTTTAAATCAGTAACTTTGCTAAATGTTGCTCTCCCTCTGTTTGCCATTTGTCGACAAACTGGATGCCAATTATGTCATTCTAGAATAAAAAAATAGCTTGCATAGTTAAAAGTGCTCCAATATGCATCTGAGGAATCGAGTCAGAAAGCATCTTTAAATAACTAATGACTGATATGATCACCATTATCGTCATTATTACCCCTGTGATGCAGCGGCGGCAGACGGAGGGATGAGAGTGATGATTTTTAAAAGAGGGGAAGAGAGAGAAGTAAGGGAGAGGGAAACAATAAGACACAAGGCGAAAAGCATGATACCAAGGGGACATGGAGGAGGGGGGAGAGAAGACCCCAGGCATGCTGTGATAGAAGTGTGTCGCTAAAGGACGGAGGGAGGAGTGAGAGTGACAGAAAAAGAGAGAGATCAGTGTGCATTTCAAAGCCACAGGGGAGCAGCAAGCTGAGGTAGAGAAATGGGCCATGAGACAGCTATAATGTCCTCTCTGCTGCAACAGACCCAGTAAACACACAAACACTGTCTCTAAAATGAGCCGCCGTTCAGACAGGGAACCAAGTGTATTGAAAACAGATTGATTCCCATGAGACAATTGTTCTCTTTCTGCTTTCATAATCCTTACACAGTACACAGGTTTTTTTTTTTTTACGTCCACAGGCAATTAATGAACTATAGTTTACCTTCAGCTTCCAATTAATTTGATCCCTCAATGGCTGAGGAAATTCAACTTAAACCACTAGGACAACATATTTTAATCAAATCAGTATTGCCAAAAAAGGAAATAGAGCTTGTATGGGAGCTAGAAACCAAAAGATTCAATGCAAAATATTTGAGAAATAGCACAGACCGAGTTGATGTGATATAAAGTCAAATATTCATACAGAAAAACGGTTTAAATTCAGTTTTTTAAGTCACCAAGCACACACATCTTAACCAAAGAATAATCTTCATACTTCTGAAGCAGCTGTCATTCTGACTGAGCATGTGGAGTTGTTTGACCTCCGGGTTTTACAAAATAGCACATGATCGCAGTACAGTTTGTCAGTACAGATAAAACGCCTTCTCAAGTGACATTAATGCAGCATAAAGCTAAATTTCAGATGCATCTAATCAGTATCTCTAACAAACTGAAGTCAGGGTTTTTCCTGCTGTTTTTAGATGTATTCCTTTTTTTGTATTTCATCTTTTAACATGGATAACGCTTTTTTCGTAAGTGAAGCCATTTTGTGATGGGAGTGTTGGCAAGGACCAAAGTTGTTTTGGTAAAAAAATATTAGTTTCCATGATCTGTAAGTGTAGACGTATCTTTTTGTTTTCCTGCATTTTCCCCCCAAAGAGGTTTTACCCAACGCCAAAGGAAAATCACGATTCAAATTGCAAATCAGATCCTCTCTGAATGTATGTTAAAAATATCAATACATCAAACGACTGTTGAACAAGGTGAACATAAACTTAAATACAACGTCTCTGACTTCTAGCAGTCGTCTCCCCTCTCATCCATTTACGCTTGTGGCTCGCGCTGGATAGCCAGCTGATTGACTGTTCGTTTCTTTTGACTAGTACACGGTTGATCCGCGATCCGTATGAATCGAGTCGGGAACGCACGTTCAACTTTTCTCTGTCCACTTCCTCCGTGTCTGCTTTTATCAACAATCAATAGCTTAATGATCGTAACAACAGCCAGCTGTAGTCTGTGAACTTCTCCACACAGACTGTCAAACAGCGCTGCGTTATAGTCAGCAAATATATTTTTATTATTTCTCAATTTTCTGATTTTATCAAATGATCCAAATGATCTGTGACTGAAATCTGTGATTATTTGACAAAATACCTTAACTCAAATAAATGTAGTTAAACAAATGTGTATGTAAAATGAAAACAAAAGAGCAAAAGAGCAGCCATCATAGGAAGAGGGTGAAATGCACTGGCAGGATGTGACCTCCCCTCTCCCAATCTCATTACACTCCTCTCCCTTAAAGTCCCTCTCCTCCCCTGTTTCACTGTTGCAAAAAAAATAAAAAATCTTCACCAGATTTAATTGGGGTTTCAGTAACTTAAGCATAATGATAATATTATTTATAAAATGGTCAGAAATAAAAGGAAATGCACAGATTTCTGTCAAATAAGGTAATACAGACTCGTAGACTACAACTGTACTGTTATACGCGGGTTGAACGTTTACTACAGCGTGTATAGTCACCCCCCCTGAAAAAGCCTGGAAGTCAAAATATGAACTTCCATTCTAGGCCTTTTTAAAACAGACATAACCTCCAACCCTTAACAGAAACTTGCCTCCAACAGAAGAATGTAATTCTTCCAGATGCATCCTGAAGAATTACATCAATTGTGTGCATTCATTTTGTGTGTACTCACCTTAACATAGATGATAGGGATGGTGGTCTTTGCCTTGTTGAAGTGCCGAGCCACCCTGTACACCGTCTCAGGGACATAGTCCAGCACCAGATTCAAATACACCTCATCTTTCTGAATAGGAGAAAAAAAAAGAGGTATAATCTAAAAACTTATCCAATGTTAAGATGATTACATCAGTAGGGCTGAAACGATTCCTCGAATCACTTGAGTAACTCTATTTCTAAAAAGAAATCCAGACTATTACAATTATTCAAATAAGCACCAGAATAATTTAAAGAATCCTATGTTACTGCAGCCCCATCCATCAGTATTATCAGTGTAATCTCACCAATGAAGTAAAATATGTTGAATTAAATATGGTGAGTAGGTAGACAAAAAGATAACTATTCTATTTGTACACTGTGGTAAGCTCTATGACTGAAGATGGAGCTTAGAAGAACAATAATAGGAAAATATAAAATTGAGCTTATTCTCTGTATTTACAATTTAATCTTCAATGTATCCTGCAAACTATACAAACTATAACTTGTTGATGCAGCTCATTGACACGACATTCACACTTTGAAAGTAATCAAACAAATCTTTCATTGTGAGTGCAATCACACTTGATTATCCTAACATGATAAATATTGATTAATAATGACAGTGGAGAGTTATCTATGACAGAACTAAAAACAGAATATTTTACATTGTATTTTAGGAAGGAAATAAAATGTCCTGAATATGTTGCTCTATGTTATACTTAATGTAATACACTATAACTTGAATGCTGATTTTGCAATACTTTAAATACTGTGTTACACCAGATAAGGGACAAAATGACTCATGATGATAATTGAATGACACATGAAAATCTTCATGTAAGGAAATCAGGGGCATACACATTTGGCCTCTGGAGCGTACAGTTCAGAGGACAGGGATCAAAAGGTTAACTTGCTCGTCACTGCGACATCTGCCAAGTTTGGCTGCCTAAGCTGGTCTTTTCCAGAATCAGACACAGAGCAAAACCAACACCAAAAGGATATTCTAAGGGCTTTGATTCTGAAGACTCAAAATAAAGAGTGATTTTGATATACAATGAAGACTGATATCAACTTGTCTCAAACACGTCTATGAATCATTGATGATGCATGTTCCATTCAAGGGCTGGGTGTGGAGGTATCGTGCCTCATCTGGAAACTTGATTCCTATAATATAAAAATGTCAAGTCAGTGCTCACACACCTTCTCTCCGCTGGAGTAGAAGAAGTAACGTAGCCTCACAATGTTGCAGTGGTCCAATTTTCTCATTATTTGCAGCTCCCTATTCTGTAATGAGACAAGGAAAGGGAGAAAGGGAGGGAAATGCAAAATTGTTAAATGTGCAAAAATTCAAAAAGATTATGGAAGAACAACTTACTCCCATACACAAAGTAATGGGAATGCTTTCATAAAAATACACATTAGGCAACTTCTGCCTACCAAAACCATCTCTGTTGATGCTGTGTTACTAATTAAAGAAAACTTAAACTGTAATTATCTGACAGCGTAGATCTGACTCAGCATACCTTAAACCTCTTGTCTTGGAGAACTTTCTTAATTGCCACCATCTCCTGGCTGTCGATGAGGCGAGCCTGGTAGACCACTCCAAAGGAGCCATTTCCTATAACCTTAATGTCTGTGTAGGACACTTCTTGTGGGCGGTCGGGGCCCTGGCCTGGTGTGGCTACCACTGTCGTCACTTTGCCGCTGTCTCCTGTGGAACAGAGTACAAACACATCTTGTTAAAAGGGTTTCTGAACCTATCTTTAGGTTGACTGTAAACAGAGGCAATGTTATGTTGCATCACACCTACAAACAGACCTACAAACAGACTGCTATGAAACCAGACAAGCCAGTGTCCCCAAGAGAGAGGGCAGTTAAACATCAACAAGCATGTTCTCCTTTTCTAAATGCTTGTGATACTAATCAGAATGGCATATGGTGTTTCCCCAGACACATTACAGTGTCTCATAATAAGCTCCTGAAAATTAGACAGCCTAAGGGCACACCCACACACTAGGGAATCCATAACGAGCCCAGGCACGTTTGACCCCAAAGTCCAGTTTGCTTGACGACTGTGAGTGCTCTGTACCGTGCTCAAGCATGCTACACTTCCTTGACCACAGCGCAGTTAGAAGAGGTGAGCTTTGGCATGTTACTCTTGCTCATGAACGAGCACAAGCACTGGTACCGACATGACTCGTAGCCTAATTGATGCGACAGTCCCTCTCAACAATTATTTCAAACAAGGGCGGCAAACGGTCGACTTCGGTCCGATTCAGAGGTCGAGCATCGAGCATTTTCAGGAAAATCTGCGACTAACTAGTACTACGTCGTGATGGGGTATGTGCAAGAGTTAACGATGCTAAGGCGATGCTATCGCTGGTCCTGGAGCAATGGGAGTGCAGACCAATGGGGGACAGGGGAGGAGGAACTAGTTTGAACTTTTGGTTATAAAATGCCTATTGTGATCATTGGACCCAAAATGATCATTAAGCAAATGCATTATTTCCCAGGCCTCCTGTACTTGTATTCAGTGGTAAATTTTACAAGTAAGTTGGATTTTACTCAGAGCAACACCACACAAAACTAAACTGCTTTGCTCAGTAAGTGGCCTTGGGAACAGGGATACAATACAAAAGCCACTATACTCTCATCACATTATGTTTAGCTAAGGGCACAAGTTAGCGAGACAGCACTCATATTAGATAGGATTTACAGTAAAAGTGGATTATAAGGTGTGTGTTCTCAATCAGTCCGACACTGCCCTAGACAGCCTAAAAGTTTGACCTTGCTGAAATCAGACAAAGTGAGATATTTAAGATCTAACAGGAACCAACAGCTCTAGTTAGGGTCAGTGTGTTGCACCCGTGCACGTGTCAGGTCAAGAATGATTTGACAAATCGGCACCAGAAGCAATGACACTGGGAGAGGAAGAGGAGCAGAGGAGAGGCCCGTTGCCAAAAGGCTTGTCAGAGCCTGTGATAAAAATTGCGTGGACAGTAGCACACCCAGAAGTGCTACCATTTCCTGGGCTTGCTCACTTAGCCTGTCTCAACAGGACCCTCCTGATCCCTAATAGGTCTCTTAGTCTCAAAATGGAGTCAAAAATGAAGCATCTTGGTCTCTCTCTTAAATTGACCAAATATAAATAAGTGATTTGGCTTCATCGATTGCATATTCTCTCTATAGATCTGTTTTCACAAAAATAACTTGATGACTTATTCCATTCCAAATATAATGACTGAAGCTGGGTATTGTCCACAACCTCATAATTCAATTCAATTTCAATTCCTTGGGTCACGATTCAATATCGATCAATATGCTTCGTTATCAATTTAATAATAAGCATAGATGACAGGAATACCCAGATAACTCATCAAAAAGACCTTCTGATATTTGTTAAATAATTATATGTACATTGTTTGTAGTGGTTTACCAACAAACTGACTAAAAGATAAACTAACGTTGCGTTATTCTTTAATAAACAAATAATAAAACATTAAAGTACAGTATGATCTAAAGTGCAAATTTGTGCCTGAGCTGAATTTGCAGCAAAATCGTAATTAAACAAAACTGTGCTGTAATGGCATGGACAAAAACTATATGTAAAGCACACAATTGTGCTTGACCTGAATTCACAGCACCCGCAGTGCCCCCAGTGAGGAGAGGCATCATTACAACGAAAAAAAATCGATCTCGTGATTTCCCTGAATCGAATTGGGAAAATAATAATTGCAATGTATTGATGAATCGATATTTTTAACCAGTACTTATAATGATCATGTCTGGTAGACGACAAGGGGCAGTCTTATTTTTGCAGTTTTCAAACCAAAACCTTGTCAAGGTTAATAGCAAACAGCAGCCGGCAGCACATCCACATGATTGGCCCAGATTTGATCTCTGCCCTCAGGTCAGTAGGAAATATTCAGATTTCCAGATCAGTCACTTTGTGGTTTCTGCATATTCCTGTTATCCAGCTCCACAGTACACTGTCCCTCTGTATTTGCTTTTGGCATCACTTTCACACTTTTTTGTTTTTAGAACAAGTTAAAGTCATAGGGGAGAACATTAAATATGGAAACACGGTGGCATGATAGTCTCTTGAATAATGAATGCAAAGATGAGCACCCTGCCCAGCTGTCAGTAAACAGCTTTGGTTTCTCATACTGTCAATGTGCGCCTGATGAGTAAGAGAAAAAAGATGAGTAGAGTGACTTTCACCCCACCCACACTAAGAAGCAATTAGCCTGGAGCTCTTTTGTGAGTGTTAAACACCTTTTTAACTTGATAAAGCTCTTTTGTGATAAATTACAACTATGCTGCCATTACAGGCCTATGAATGAGACCTTCATTGCTCCTAGGGGAATTTGCCTTGCACCAAGAGCATGGAAACATAACATACTGGACAGCACAAACAAAATAAATATATACTAAAAAACTAACTGTCAAAAACTAACTGAAATACACCATTAAAGCATAGCATTAATACATGAAAGGGGTTTCAAGTAGCAAGTTCAATACGTGCAGAGTGCCAAGTTCATATGGTATATTTAGAGCTTGTTGAGCAGCTGAATGCTGTGTAGTACAAAAGATGTAATGTGTCTTTTAGTCCTCATCCTTGGAATTCTATACCTGCACCCTGAGGCCAAGAGTTCATATTCAGACCAACGAGGATGGTGGGTGGGTCTGCTGTCATCTTGTTTGGATAAACTCAGTGTGTACTGGCTTGTCAAGTTAGAAATACTGTACATTGGCTTCCCAGTTATCTTGCTACCTAGTTTAACGACCTTGTCCAGTTTGCTCTTCCTTTGTACAGACCACCTGTAAATAATGGAATATCGAGAGTATCTTTTCAGAATGAGCTGCTCCTGGTGTTTGTGTCTGTGCGCGTCCGTGGGAATAAACACTTGATATGAATAATAACCTAATATTCAAATATACCCTAAGATTAGAGCTGTCCCAAACGATTATTTTTTAAACGATTAATTTAGCGATTTTTTCCCCCAGATTAATCGACTAATCTAATGTTTAATTTTTTGATTAATCTAACGATTAATTTTTCAGTTAACGATTATCTCACATTACTTGGATCAATTTAACTATTCACACAATAAAGGATATCAAAACCTTTCTTGTTATCATTTCAATATTTATTAAACATTTCTTGACATGGCACTTAGAGCATTGCTCCTCAAGAATCTCTCCAAAATAAAATTCTGTGTAGTGATAGTTTGGATGTGCTTTTCTTTAGTTCACTTTTTACTTTGTCCATGGTAGCCGACAGCCTAGCAGACAGAAAAGTGTTCTCTTTTGTGTCATATTTTATCAAGCGACGCTGGGATATAAATCATCCGTCCGGTATAAGCAAACAGATTAGAAACTGGTCTGGACAGCTAACGATGCTTAACGTTAGTTGCGATGTATTTACAGACAACAAATCAACAGTGTAACGTAACGTTTACTTTACAAAACACATTCTGTATCAATGCTTGATAATCGAACATTCCAGGGTGGGAACGTAAACCAAACTTACGGTGTTTTGCTGCCATCCTGACACACAGCTCCCGGGTGTTTTCACTACAAATGTCTGTTCATTGCTGTCGTACTCGTGTGGTACTCCAGCTTAATTTAATGACCTTGTGCGTTACTTTTTTTGGCTATGTGTTGCTCCTCGGTGCTCGCACTGCTGTTATTGCATGCAGACGCCGTTGTTGTTGAGTGAATTCGTCTTCTTCCATTTTAGCATCTATAGCGATTGGCGGCTAGCTTTCTGGTGCATTACCGCCACCACTAGACTGGAGTGCGGGACAATCTAGTTGTTTGGGACGACGCGGCGACACAAATTATTCATGTCGACGAATTTATGTTGTCGATTACGCCGTCCCAGCTCTACCTAAGATATGAGTAAAAAAAATGTTTTCACGTTTTCTTATTTGACAAAACAGTTCTTGATTTAGTTTAATTTTGTGGACATAATATGCAGCTAAAAAAAGCTTAATCGCAATTCTCAGCATCTCTCCAAATGTTTAAAATCGTAATCATATCATTTCATGTCTCAAGTATCGTGATAATATCGTATCGTGGGGCCTCTGGTGATTTCCACCCCTTTGACGAGCATCCTTCCCATGTAGTAAAAAGTCAATAGACTGGGACTTGTATTGCGTCTCCTGACTACTCAAATGGCGATAAAAATGTCACATTCACGCTGATGGCAGAGGATGCTACGTAGAATTCACAACTGCCCAACAGCACTATTCATTTCACATGCACACACGGCTGGCTTACCAGCGTGAGCAATTCAGTGTGTTTACCAAAGACACTATAGTCAACTCTCAACCATCTAGTTGAGAGTTGACCGACTCTACCACTGAGCCACAGCCACCAATGTTACATCATAGATTACAATTCCTGCTCAGAAATGTAAGCAGCAACAGTATTCTACTTTAAGCTCTTGTTTTGTGCAGCAGGTTAAAGTTTAGGATTACAATTTTCACAAGAAACAGATTGTGATGCTCAACTCAGTGTATCTGAACTATTAATAAAATAAAAATTTGCATATTCTGACTAACTTTTTATCAAACAACACACAAAAACATACACACACACAGACAAACACACAGCTCAGTGTTTTTCCAATTTCGAAGAGTATGTGCTTCCTTAATTTTCACATTTTGTAAAATAAGGTTTTTGAAACCTAATGAAAAAAATGTACTTGAGATCCAGATGGATATCTCATTTTGCCACAGTTTTAAAAGATAAATCACTGGTGAGAACTCAACTTTATGTTAACGAGTTGAGGACCTGGAGTCAGGTTTATGAACACTGTCCATTTTCATTAAACTTAATGTTGTGTAATTTTTAAACTGTTCTTTTTTTCATCAACAATATCAAGATCAGATTATTTCTGATTCTAATCTTTAACAACATGGGAAAGTCCGTAGGACAGAATGTTTTCTATTGCTGATGTTCTGGGATAGCCACTAGAACTCAAAAGTTTCCTTTATATTGAGGCCTAAGAAATTATTTATGCAACTGATGATCTTTATTTGCCACTTTTAATAACTTTGCTTCATCCCTTTAGGCCACAATGTGCTAAAATAGCAACATATTTCCCTTCTTCCTCCTCTTTCCGTGAGCCTCAGCTGGCCTCTATCACCTCAATGCTCTCAATGTGGACTTTATGTTTTTCAATATTGCAACAGACACATTTGGTTGTTTCCATTTAGCTGTTTCCACTTCTGTTTACAGGCAACTGAATGAGTACAAAGAAATGACTTCTTGGTTCACTTTTAATTCTGACTTTTTGTGAAATATCGATAGCTATTGCTGCCCCAAACTATTAACTGAATCACAATAACATGTTCTCATGTCGTCTGTTAAGAGTTGATGAGGTGTTGATGAAATCACCTGTATTGTTTGATTAGCAGTTCTTACAGAACTTCAGAGAGATAAGAGGTAGGAGAAATGGCCTGTTGTTAACAATACAGTGTTATACAACACGTGACAGCATCTGAGCAAGAAGACATCATCCTGCCTCATGCTCAGTTTTCCCAATGCGCATTTAAACTTGAAGTGCTGATTTTTTGTTGCATCTCTATGAGAGCGTATGTTGGTGAAAACATTGAACTTAGTTCTGACAAATGGCAAAAGAGAAAAGTTAAGCCAGTTTAACCTCTGACAAAACACAATACTTTCACAAAGCATAGTTGATCTAAATGACCAAGTCTAAGACAACTTGTAAACTGAGAAAAAATAGCTTACATTCAAACGTTTGAATGAGTCAAAATCCCCTAATGGAGATCTCCCAGTTGGCTGCATGTACTACATTCAGCAGGCTTACTACAAAAGAAGCTTGAATGAACTTTCACTACCTGATGCTGAATCACAACAATTTCCCAGTTTGGGATCTTCTCGACTGTTATACTACATTTTGGATCAAACATAGTTTTTGCTTCCTATCAAGCCCCCACCCCAAAAAAAACAAAAAACAGATTTACACACAATCCAAACATCTGTCCCACCCTACAGATTTAAAAACTCAATGCTAGCTCCATGACCCCTAAGCATTTGGCAGGTTCTTGTCATCACACAAGCAAATCAACTGCAGACACTTCAGTATTGTCGGCAAACGAGAGGTGCACATACATGAGTCATGCTCAATGCACTGGACCAGTTATTTCAAGTTTTGCATTGATTCTCCCATGTATGCTTAAGTCACCATATGCTAGTTAATGAGCAGCTGAAACTCAATTCTGTTTAATTATCATTTTTATCAAATTGAGGATAATTTTCATTTCTTCAGGTCATCACACAAGAGACACTGACACATAACCTCAGCTCACCAAACACTGTAAGACCAGACTGGACCGCGGCCGACGCCTATAACTACATCCAGATCATTTCAACCTACAAATGTTAGCACGCTAGTAGCCTCCACATCTGAAATTAATGGCGAATATACAAGAGCGTCGCCTGACACCAACTCTGCCCCTATCTTACACAGCAATGGAAATGGTTAGGTAATGTTGCCCAACAGTGGCATAACCTTATTTACCGTCGAAATATCAGCATCATACGTCCAAGCTTGCCACCGGCGGCTAACCATAGTGTTAGCTAAGCGATAAAAAAAAAAAAAGCCCTTGATCTCAGTGGGACCTTAATGAAAAACACAGCTAACGTTAGCAGGACAGCTAACTTAAGCGAGCTAACCAGCTAACAGCTTGCTGGCTGGCTAAGGTTAGCTCCGCGACAATGATCGACATTAAATCCACTAAGGCACATTTCTTTTAAAAATACAGACCTGTCGCTACCTTTGTAAAAGCGACCAAGTTCGGCTAATGATGTAATCGCAAGATAATACTTACTAGGTAGTTTCAAATTCCCAAAGCTCGTCGAGCTGCTTCCACTGGCTTGTGAAGCCCCAGTTTTTCCTGACGAGCTTCCGCCGGCTACTGCTGATCCGGCACCAGCTGCAGCGGATCCGGGAGCTCCGGGAGGCTCAGCGAATGAGCTGGTCCTGGGCCGCCCGCTGCCGCTCATATTTGTGTGAACTAAACCCCCGGGGGCAAGGTTGAACGTTAATAGCGCCCAGGCCGGCAAAAAGACTTGGACTTTGAATCAGTGTTTAAATATTTCGAAGTTAAAATAAATTGCACTTACGGCGTTCAGTATAGGTTTCCCGTCTCCCCCTTTCTTCCTCTGTAGAACGGTGATGGTGGGGGGACTGGGGAGTTGACGCACGACGACGTAAAGCTCGCAAGGGTAAATGGGAAAGTGAGTCATTGGTGTCTACGAGAGCACGAAACACACACACACACATACACACGCAAACAAAACACAAACACATTTTTAAATTGGTTGTAGTAGAAAAATTATTTCTGTCAAACTTAAGAACGAATTTTCCACAATAAACAAAGTATATGCATTTATAGTAAAACAAATCAGCAGGGTCTAGTGAGAACACATACAATTTAAAAAAAAAACATGTATAAAAGCCTTAAATATTTATTGCAATCCCAAAATCCACCGAGACACATACAGAAACTTACTTAAAACTCAAAAACTTAAACTCCTAAAAAAGTTTAAATTCCCCCTTTTAAAAAAAAAAGAAAGAAAAAGGCGTATTTTTAACAGTCTAGAAAACTACAATTCCCACAAAAAAAGCACACTGTTTGATTGACAGTCAGCCTGGCCAATCACAGATGGTGACATGTGCGAGGCTACCGCATTGGGCGGGTCTCCATAATCACAAGAATGGAGTCGATCGGCGGGCAAACGTTTCATTACACGCTTTGAAATGAAATTTCCCACGGGCAGTTTTTAATTATTTCATTTCCCTGCCGCCGATGATGACCAGATACTGTGAAAGGCCATTGGCTTGTGTAAATTTAAGGACCACACGAGGGGATGTCCCAACGAGAGTAAATGTGAGGTGAGGATAAAGAAGGGCCCGCCGTCGTAGCCGTACAGCTTCGGGGAAAAGTGGGTAGCGCCGCCTGACGGACCGCCCGACGAACCGGGGAGCCGCCGTCAGGAAACCGCGGTGCCGAGAAACAGGTCAGCAATATCGGAGGGAGCGCCGCCAACAGCTCTCCATATGCCATCACACACTGTAAACAAAGATATTAATCACATTTGGGGAGAGATCAGGTTGATGATTAGTGAGGCCCCTTTGGTTGGTGGTCGTTTTTATTAGCTGTAGCATTTGTATGGCTAACCACTGAAATTGCGATGTTTTTTTTTTTTCCCGCGGGATTTTGTCATATTGTCTCTGTAAACACTGCTTGTTTTCTTCACATATCGAACCATTTATAGTACAAAATTGACGGGAAAATAATGTTGCTGTTGTGAAATACTGAACCCACATACGTACTGTTTTAGGTCTACTACAAAACTGCTCGTGGATATATTGGAAAAGCTCAGGGTTAGATGTTATGTAGCATATGTATTTCTGTTTTCCACAGGTGTAATCTTAGACTGGGCGTCTGTTTGACTGTTCATTCTTTAGACACAGCAATGAAGTTTCCCGATTAACTCTCACACCTCATTTTATGTCCCTCCCATTTAATGATACAGCTGACACAAGACTATACACTCGCACCCCTGTATCAGCATGGCTGAGCAACAGCAGGAGGCAGAGGATGTGTATGTGGAGCACCAGTATATGTGCAGTGAGTGCCATCAGCTCTTCAACACCCTTGAGGATGTGCTGATCCACCAGCAGATCCACACTGGCCAGGAGGGGGAAGGGGATGTAGGGGAGGCCATGACCATCCATAGTGTCCATGAGATGGGGCAGACACAACAGTACCAGTGTCTGGAGTGCGGGGCCCTCCTCGTGAACCCAGAGGAGCTGCTGCAGCACCAGGAGATGCACATGAGGGAGGCAGGGATGGAGTTGGAGCAGCAAGGTAAGAGATTGGATGGATATGTGAGGAAAAAAAAAACAGTGCATGGAGAACTTGCAAGTTTGTTTTGTGTGTATATACAAGTCTGCTCATGGTACTATTTTGTTGAAATTGGTTGATGGATTTGACTGATCCACAGGGCTGTGTGAGGTTTTGGAAGCGGAGGAAGTAGGATCGGAGTCTCAGGTGTCAGGGCCTGTCCAGTACCAGTGTCTTGACTGTCTGGCTCTGTTTGACTCACCTGACACCTGGCTAGAGCACAGACGCACCCACAGCAGGAGCAGCACACACAGTAATACAGAGACCATGGTAAGGGACCAAACACTGCACAGACACCATGGACATGTTTATCTTTAATAGTAACTGAAATGTAGTTATTTTTTACACCTGGAAAGTATCTGAATAGAATAGTTTGTATAATCCTCCAAATGATTGATTAGTAGGAAATGACAAGTGCAGAAGTCTAAATTTAGCTTTTCCGTTTAAATAAGTTGCTTCAATATTTAATAGTAAAGAGGTAAATTACGTAGGCCAAATTGCTACTAGATTGTGTTTGCTAATACAGTATAGTACTAACAGTACAGTACTAACCCTAATACAGTATACAGTATCTTATGTGTTGTCAAACTGCAGGGATTTGATAATATTGGGTCAAATGATCTCACTGCACAGGAGTTGGCAAACATTTGTAATATTGGTGACAGCAGCACCTCATATTGTGCTGAGTCATCCATTTGCGTATTGGTTAGTCCTTTTCAAAAAAAAAAAAAAATATGACAGTTGTCAAAAGCAAAATAAGTTAGTGAAGTATTTTTAGACAAATTCTCCCTGAATCACTTGCTTGTGGGCAGAAAGATTTCTCACCACTCTGACAGGGCAATCATTTCATATGGGTCAGACTCATAGACGCTAGACTGCATTCAGATTGCTTCAAAGTGAAACATTTGTCTTGTGGATTATGATTTGGGTTGTGTAGGCCAGCACAGACCTGTAGTGTTGCTGCAGCTGCTCTGTAATTGTAGAAAACTGTAGTTGTAATGTGTCACAGCAGACATCACGTCTCCTAAACACCAGATGATTGACTAAAGGAGAGATCTCCATCAAACATTGCTTGTTTATGCACTTATTCATTTGTTCAATTATTTACTTAATATGCCTTACTGAATACAAAAATAGACTTAAAGGTCGAGTCAGTAGAAATGTTCGTTGCAGCTTGTAAACACAACATTCAAACTCGGCCCTTCCTCCTGGACTCATCGCCGACAGAGGCGCCCGCCCTCTGCAGGATTAAGTGCATGTACGTAAACTGCAAGCTACCTGAGAAAAGGGCTATTACATCTGTAATGGAGAAGCCGATAATCAAGCATGCTATCACAGGCTAACTGCCAGTGTTCGACACCTGCTTGTCCCACAGAAAGCAGGCCAACTCTGCTTCCACAGGTGAAAGTCAACCAAAGGTTCACCCTCATTTTGGAACGAGCTGTATTCGCGTGGTGTTTCTCCTCACTAGAATTATATTTTCTCTTCTTTACCGCTGCGTCCGCATACGTCATGTTTGCCGGTTTGACTCGTATTTAATCGCTGAATTGTATCACTCCCAAACTCACCTGCCTGCTGTCATTGGCTGGGGAAATACACCTGCACCCCACCAGGAAACATCCCAACTCAAACAAAACAAAACATGAAAAAAACTGGACAGGGTATCTGCAGAAAAAGCCACCACCATTAATGCATGTCGGCTCATAAGTGATGATTTAGTGGCATTACTCTTGTATAATTTCTTTTGGTCTCTTGCAACAGGAGTATGTGCTACAGCCTGATGGCACCGTCACTCCTCTAAACAGTATGCAGAACTACGTACTAAGTGAGCAGCAGGCTGGGGAGATCTTAGCACAGGTACTCACAACAAAGAAACAGATTTAACACCTACATGGTGGGTGTAAGATATTTCTATATTAAAAGTCATTTTCTTCACATTTTGGTGTATTTTCCAGGTACTTGCCCAGCAGCAACAACAGCAGAAAAAAAGGCAATCCGTCCCCAAACTTGCACCCTCTCGTTCCGCCTTGCTGCCTCCAGTGACAGCCACCCCAGGCTCGGCCACCATGCACCTGCAGATCCTGACAGCTCAGGCTCTGGCCGATAACTCCAACAGCTCAAGTCAGCGTCGCTCCAAGCTGCCCCCTCTGCTTCCTGCCATGGCCAGACATTCTGCTGCAAAGCTGGGGGTCCTGGAAAACGGCGTCCAGAGACTTGAGTTAAGGTTGGCCCCCGGCGTCCAGGGCGACACCCAGCAGCAGCAAACAGAGGTGGTGGTCATCCACCCTTACGAGTGCTCTGAGTGCTCCCTTCTCTTCCAGACCCCAGAGGACTTCCTCCAGCACCAGGGGGAGCACTTCCTGGGTCAGGACAAAGAAAGCGGAGAGCCAGGCGTCATGGGGGGCTTTGAGGAGGTGCGAGGGAAGGAGGAGACAATGGAAAGGGTGGAGGACATCCGGGTCAGAGTAGTAGAGAAGAGAGCAACGGCCTGGGCAAGACCCCAACAGTGTGAGCTCTGCAACCGCACCTTCACATCTGTTAACCGACTGGCTGCTCACAAGCGTGTGCATGAGCAGGGAACGCATGAATGTCCAGAGTGTGGCAAGGTGTTCAAGAAGGCTACATCCCTGCAGACACACATGCGCACACACTCCGGGGTAGCCAGGTACCTGTGTGTGGACTGTGGCAACGGCTTCACTACTGAGATGACTCTTATCATGCACAGGTAAAAGACTCGGCAGCTGCAGAACAACAGTTAGAGAGTGACAGCTGATGTGAAATTTGATCCTCTTCCATCTTTCTCTTGATATCTTGCAGGAAGTCCCACACTGCAGACCCGCTTCACAAGTGCCAGTTCTGCAACAAAACCTTCACTAACATGACCAAGTACCTCTACCACCGTAGAACCCACCTCAACCGTGATCCATCAGGCACATCTGCCCCCGTCTCAACGGTATGAACATTTTCCAGATTTCCTCAACCTGAATTTTGTATAATGTTTCAGTTAGAGTTACGCCTGTTTTCTCCTCTAGGTCTCAGCTCCAAGAAGAGCATCTCTCTCTGCCCTCGCTATTCTACAGAGAGCAAGAGAGAAGAAGAATTCCCAGACTGCTGAGGTCAACATTAACCTGCTGGCCCCTCTCACCGAGGACGAGATGGAAAAACTGGGAGAAGAGCCAGTAGAAAGCTCTCAGAGCAAAGAGGGAGGAGGTGAAGAGGAGCAGCAGACTGAGGAGGACACCATGGAGTTGTCTGCTCCACCTGAAGTCAACACTCAAGACCCCAAGCAGGTGGAGGATGCCACCAAATCTGTTTCAGCTACAGACTCTGCTTCCCTGGAAAACACAGGTGTAGGAGGTACTCCTGGCCCTGCTGACTCAGCAGAAGTGGCTCCAGCTGCATCAGACAAAGGATCTTTTTCTTGTCGCTCGTGCTCGAAAACCTTCCCCTCCCAGCTTCAGCTAGTCCACCATCGAAGGAAGTCCCATGTCACAGAGCGAACCTTTGTCTGCGGCATCTGTGGTAAGTCCTTCAAGAAGCAGATCCACGTACGCAACCACATCCGCACTCACACTGGCGAGCGGCCCTTTCAGTGTTCTGACTGCGGCAAAACCTTCTCATCTCTGGCCAATCTGATGAGGCACAATCTCGTCCACTCGGGTGTGCGACCTTACCGCTGTGACGTCTGCCACCGCTCCTTCTCTCAGTCCTCCAATCTACGTCAGCACAGTCTGCTGCACTCAAACTCTAAGGCACTGAGCTGCCAGGACTGCCCCGCCACCTTCCGCTGGCCCACCAAGTTAGCAGCACATCGCTACACCCAACATCCAGGGGCCCCGGCCCCTTTCCCATGTCCCCACTGTGAGGCCGGCTTCCTGACAAGAAGGCAGAGAGACAGCCACTGTCTGGAGCAACACCCCACACAGATGCAGACAGGTAAAGGCACACACATGGAAAAAGAGACATTAAGTCAGTCCGAGGTGGGAAAAGATTTGACCTCAGAGCCCTCCACTTCAACTCCACAGGAGACAGAATCCGGGGATTCAGCCACTCTCTTGCGAGGAGGTCTAGATTGCAACATTTGTGGGAAGAAGCTCAATTCTCCTGCCAATCTGCGACTTCACAGACTTAGTCACTTTGCTCTAGGCCCCGGGCGGCCACGCTGCACTACAGGGAAGCGGCCCAAAGCCTATCAATGTACCATTTGTGGCAAACTGTTTGTGTCTTCTTCAGGAGTGGTACTTCACCAGCGAGTCCACACTGGCGAGCGCCCTTTCCCCTGCCAAGTATGCGGCAAGCGTTTCCGTCAGAACACACACCTCCGCGAGCACTTGCGCACGCACTCGGGCGAGCGGCCATTCCGCTGTGAGATATGCGGAAAGGGTTTCATCCAGAGTATGCACCTGGCTGAACACCGCCGGACACACACGGGAGAACGGCCACACGCATGTCCGCAGTGTGGCAAAGCCTTCAAGACCTTTTCCAACCTGAGGAACCACAAGAAAACCCACGCCCGGCAGCAAAGGCTGGATGAACAGGCTGCTGGCAAGGCTGCCATGGAGACCAGCACTGCTGTGGCTGTGGTTGATGCTTCAGTGGTGCAAGTAGCTAATGGGCAGCCTCAGGTGATCCAGATCCAAGCCTCAGATCTTCAGCAGGTTAGAATTGATCTCAAAGTCCCCTCATACTTAAAAATGCTGATATTGAAAGGTTACACATGAAACTAGCATGAGCGAACATTAAGGGTTAACATTAATTCATGTTATTGAAGGATGACATGTAATCAGCACCTGGAAATAGGTCTGTGTGTCCAGTCTCTCCTGTTAGTTAAAGTAATCCTGAGCTCTGTTTCCTTCCTCTTAGGGACAGGGCACCCCTACCATCATGTGTAATGAGTTTGGTGAGACCATAGCAATCATTGAGACCAGTGAGGGCGGAGCACTCCCTCTGGAGCAGGCCTTGGAGATCTATCACACAGCTTTGGAGAACGGCCTCGCCATGGACACTCTGGATGGACTGCAGATCCTCTGAGGACGATTTTTTTTTTCTGTTGCTGAATTTGAAGATGGTACATGTCTTAACACTGCCTAAAACTAAGTGTTCAGTAATGATTAACAGGAACCGAATAATTAAGTACTGGACATATTTAGTTCACCAAACAGGCCAAAGTAATTTGACTTCCCTCTTTTACAAAGCTAACTGGGATCAGTATTCAATTTTATTGAAATGATGCTTTCTAAATGTATAGATATGGGATTCATCAGGAGTAAGGACCATTGCTTGTGCCTCAGAACATATTTGTATGATTAATTTTTTATCATTTATATGATTTGGATGTGATTTTTTTTTTCCTGTTTGAAGGCTCTGTTGGCTGAAGAAGTATCCTGTTGTAAATATGTGATCAATAAATGTTTTTTTTTTCCACGATGATTTAAAATTGGTACCACCGGATCTGGTTCAACATAATACAGGTAAACTCCTGTGTACTTATAATCCACTTCATGCACTTCAGATGTTCATTGGCTTCTGGTGAACAAACATGCAAAATTTGAACAACAGTCTCGATTGTATGTGCAAAAGAAAACGATAAATATTCACATTGCCAGTGATGAGATCACTTTAATTGAACATCTATTTTTATTTGCATACTGAAAGTTACAGATACAAACTTAAATTATTCATAGAAATTCCTCTCTTGTTTGCTGGAACAGCAGAACAAGGAGCTCAACACAAACATTAATAGCCATATTTATTGTCGTTTTTTCCTTTTCAGTTGTTTTACTTCTGGCAATGGTTGTCTGTAAAGTTGACAGATTTTTCCTTATCAATAATATAATGAGTCTTCTGACTCTACAGTAATTATTTACAACACAACCAAGTCTTGCACAAAGACAACCAGTATAAGATCCTACCAGCTCGTTTAATTCTTAAGCCTCCCCTCACTTCCCCAAGGTTTCTCTCCGCCTGTCTAAAAAAGGTCTGGAGAGAAAAATAAAGTGACAGAGAGGAAGGAGTGAAGAAAAAGGTGGAGGAAGGAGATGTACAAGTGTTGATAGTATAGAATCAAAGTAAGCGAGGGACAAGCATACGGGGTGGTCTTAAACAAACATACGGCTTCTTACAGTTGAAATAATATAAAAAAAGGTCCACATTGTGTTCGTCCTCTTTGAAATGAAGAATAAAAATGAACTGCACCGCAGATCCTTGCTGAGGTGAGAGGCCAGTCAAGGGAAGACTAGAATAGAGGAACTGTACAGGTGTGGAGCAGTGTCTCACCTGCTTCCAAAATAAAAATGTAAAAAAAAAGATAGCACAAGAAATCAACAGCTGGCAGAAATGAAGGAGACATCTGCTAGCAACGAAAACAAAGGGGCCAGGGTTCACTGCAATGCTATGAGGAGTAATAATAATAATAATAATAATAACCATCAGAATAGTACAACAACAAACTTAATATGATAATGTTAAATACAAATCAAACCCTTTAAAAAAGTTAATAAAACTGCTTGGCAACAGAGGATTAAGGCTTGAATCAGCCTGACCTCTACAACTAGAAGCCATGATGTGCCGGTTGACTCTGACCCTCCTCCGTCCTTCATGGCTAACAAATGAGAGGCACAGGAATGCTTGGTTCCTACCTACTGGCATGTGCTAGGGTCAGTCGCAAGAAGGGAGGACTTGGCCAGACAGGTAACTGCAGGAATAATGGCACTGCCAGAAGTTCACTAATGTTAAGTCACTCCCCGTAGACCTCCCCTGAAGTTCCACACGTCAGAAATAAAAAGGAGACACAGATCTTTCCAGGTCCAAAGGAACAAGTTCTCATCAATTCAAATTGTTTCTGGCTTTTGAGGGCCCAGCCCCCTATGTCATCAGAAACATTTTCAAGCATACAACAGTTGAGTCTACATACAGCTTGCTTTAAGCTGAGAACTGCTTTTAAACCATATCAATAACAAATATTAAAACATTTAATGTCCTTAATTAAAACTACTGACTTCATCCTCTCTGAACGTTGCTCGGTCCAAAACGAGAATTCTTTCTTCTTCATGGTGAATGATTGCAGCTGTACACAATGGTCCTTTCACTGGCATTGATTTGAGATTTCTCCAAGTTAGTTAATACAGAGTGCTAATTCAAACATTTGCAGGGTGTATGTGTTTATGTTTTGTGGTAGTTTTTGTGCCACTGGTTTTTAAGGTTTCTTTTTTTTTGGTATGAGGGTCACACATTACAAGATGAAAGTCCCAGCATTGCAAACAAACATCTCTCAGTCTCGCAGCTTGGCTGCGAAGGAAAGAAAGAAACCAGGATGTGACCAGAGGAGAGTTCAGAGTGGGGATAAAATGTTTCTTTTAAAAGCATTTAGGGGGTGCAAAGGTGTGACAGAAGCTGATCAGTCAGCATCCCTCATCTAGAGGAGTCTTGTGAGTCACGCGGATCCTCAGGGCTCCCCTCAACCCCCTGATCCACTTCATCGTCCTGCAGGTCCCCAGCACCTCTCACAGATCCCTCTCCTGGCTGGCAGCCAGAGGGTCCAGGGAGACCAGCTGAGTCAGGAATGCCAAAACCAGGGGCATCGGATGGAGTAGCTGTCTGCATGATCTTCTGTCGGACCTCCCGGATCTTCAGCTGCAGACAGACTTTGGTTGGAAAAATATCGGAGTATCTTGTCTGGAAGGCTGCAGTGGCTTGAGCTGGAAACAAGACGACAGGACACCAGTAAATACCTGGAAGACTCATCCTGAACATGCTGTTACACATAATGTGTTTGTGTTTTATACCAGATGGAAAGAAGCCCTGCTCCTGAAACAGCTGCATGACCAGTGCCCTCCTCTGGTCCAGAGTTCGTCTCAGGGAGGAGTATGGCACCTTGTCAAACTCCAGTTCTGCTAGGATGTCTTCTCCATCTGTGGCTGGGAAAGCGATAATACAACCCAAGTGGTTTAGTCTTTAGAAAACAAGTTCAAATAATATTTTATTAAGTGCCTCATCATCACCAAAGCCCTTTTCAGAGTGTGTTTCAGCAACAGCGCCTTAACTAAGCTCGTTCTTACATTCACATTGATTCTGTAATGGCGTATGGTGACCCAGTCATTGAAATGGCGTTGCGGAAGAGCAACATGTAGAGGAACAGCAGAAGCTTCACTACACACACACAGCGCTGTCGTCACCCGCTGACTCTGCCAATCACATCTCGCCCCTCTAACTCTGACAATCATAGTGAAGGTGAGCCGTACCATGGGGTTAAATATAGCACCTTGAACAGGCAGTCTACAAAGGGCTTTCCTATGTGGAAATAATTTGAGATAATCCTTAATAGTCCCAAAACTGGGATTTAAATACTGTATTAAAAATAAAAATAGAAGTTTCCTGCTTGATAATATTTAAAAAATTCACAAAAGGTTTCTTTCCTTCCCTGTGTCTTACCTGCTCGGTCGAAGGTAAAGATGTCTCCCTCACACTTGGCAGCACTTTTAGGAGTGTTTGGCTCGGAGCTGCAGCTTGAGCGTCGCCGACTCTTTCTCTTGGGAGAGAGTTGTTCGTCAGTGGCTGAGTCCAAATCTAGAGGCACACAGAAAATAAACTTAAAACAAAACCACTTGAGAATTACATTACAGCTTTTGTTTAACATAGAGTTTAAAACCATGTCAAGGAACAATTTATTTCATAGAGCAGGAATGTGCTATTTGCCAAATTCTAACATTCTCATGAAAATCAAAACAACTACCCAACAATACTGTAAATAATTTATTTCTGTGTCAAATGCAGAGAATGGGAGTGACACCTGTAGAGTTCTTCCTCTTGCGGCGATAGCTGCCCAGGATGGCGCGAGGTGAAGTCGCCAGACTTTGCAGGGTGGGTGAGGGAAGAACTTCCTCAGGCCGAAACTCTGGCAGCTCAGCAAAGCGCTCCTCAAAGTAAACCTCCGACAGCACCCTGCCAGACCAGCAAGCACACACACACACAAGACACAGTATACATACGCCATCCAACAATCATCAGAATAACCTTGGGCAGAAGATTCACAAAGGTGTTAACTCACTTGTCCACAGAGTCAAATGTCTTCTTCAGTGGTGGCGGACGGGATTTGACCTTTTTGGGTGTAGGGGCATCTTTGTCAGTCTGTGGGGGTGGAAGGGCGGAATCTGTAGTTGATGGAAGGGGGGGAGGAGAGGGGGGAAGGGACTCCTTCCATCCAGTCTGTGGAAAAAGTCAGAGCCGTGTTATGTGACAACAAAAACAAAAAGAAGTTTCTTCTTATGATGTTTGAGCTAAAAAAGCCAATATGTGATTCCTCTCACCTCTTTGGTGGTTGTGCTTTCCCTGCTCCGTGTTTCAGAGGAGTCTGCTGCACCGGAGCCCTCCAGCGGTCTGTCAGAGGAGGGAGGCTCTTCAGCTGGATGTGTTGTTGGAGACCCCGATTGCCCTGCAGGCTCAGGATCAAAAGAGAAATGGCAAGAGGCTGCAGTGTCTCTCTCCTTTTCCCGCTCCCTATCTCGTTCCCGCTCCCTGTCTCGTTCCCTCTCCTTCTCCCTCTCTCTCTCTTTTCCTCGGCCCCCTCCTTCATAGCTGCCCACGGGGATGTTCGCTACCATTGCCTTCACCTTCAGAGGGGTCCTGACTGGAAGCTGGGCTAGTTTGGGTGTACCTGGTGTGTTTCCTGAAAAGATAAAGAAAGGGTTTATTATATATGCTAGAAATAACAACGAATTAGAAACCTGTCAAATTAAGTATTTAACAAAAACAAGTACCAGATGTTTGGATCTGAGGTGGAGGACTGCAGGGCCTTATGGACACAGATGAACCACTGGGAGGTGCCACTGAGCTGCTGGAGATCTGCGACTGCCTCTCCAGTTGTCTTTCAGAGTGCATGAACAGTTCTGTCTGCCTCTCAGCCTGTCTCTCTGTGTGTCGATCTGCAGGTCTGTCCGGGGGCAGGTGTCTGTCTGCCTGTCTGTCTGTATGAAGCTGCGGATGTGGGTGCGTGACTGTTGTTGGTATTGCTGTGTGTTTGGAAAAGATGTGAGGGGAAGCACTGGAGGGGCTGGAGACGGAGTAGACCACGCTGGGGGGTACTGCTGTCATGGAGACCACCCCTGTTGCCATGGTGACGCTAGGGGAAGGAGGGTAGATTGCGGTGACTATCTGGCCACCAGAGCCGGAAGCAGGGGCTGAGGTGGAAGGTGATGGAGACTGAGCTGTAGCCAGGAGTGGTGGCTGACCTGGATTAAGGAGAATGTCCAAATATCTTTGAGTTGTCAGTTACAATACATTGAGAATTTTATCATGAACATTACAGTCAAATCTGGTGTACAAGATGCACTTTTAATACCTTTTTTTAAAAAATAATTTCTCATTTTATCAATACCAGTAGAAAATTCTGAAACACACGCGGTCATTACCACGAGTGCAGCCGTAACC